CTTTCGACAACAATGGTTTTCTGGCAGGCCGTAGCTACTTTCGACTTGCGTGTCCGCGTTCCACGATCAAGCGATCAACTGACGGGGGCTGTGGGTAATGCGAACTCATTTGCTTTTAGTTTCAAGCGCGAGCAATTAATTAAGTATTTCACTGCTTGCCGTTTCCAAATGTATTTCAATTTCATTTTCTTGCACTTGCTTGAGCCCATTCTGCGCGTCGGATCGTCAATCCGCCAGTCAGTCAGTCAGTCAGTCAGCCAGTCACCTTCGCCCATCGAGCTACGTCAGCCTTTAAAGTCCGCCGGATTCTCGTGAGACAGTCGATTGCAATTAGCTTAGTCAAAGTACAGAGCGCTGAAAGTTAAAAGTAACCCACTGATGGCATTATTCAATTTGCGAACACGCAATCCCAGCGACAGCTGATGATACGCACAACGCTCCGTATGGACAATCAATTATCAACTATTTACATGCATTTAATTTGAATGTCAAATTCAGATTTTGAGCTTAGCCTATGACAGTTACAAGTAATGAGAGTCGTTTACATGTGAATATACACTTATATGATCTACAAATTCTAGATTCATCCATTCATTCCACAGTATTGTCGAGTATAAAACGTACATTTGACTAAACGAAGAGATATTGTGCAGACAATTGTTTCTAAATATTGCTTACGCTGAACTACAAAGCGTCCTCGAATGTTTTACAAGATTAAAGCTTAAACTACATACAAAATGTTGGGATTATTAATATGTCAACGATATTCACTGCTTAAGTCTTCAGTAGCGCTTAGGTGTACGGATTAGTTACGCTTAAGTACAGATCAAATCTAAGTGGGAGAATTACGTATTTACAATACAAAAATCGGAGACTCCTGGCAGACGTTGGAACACTTAAGTCGCCGGAATTCTTGCTCTGCGACTCCGTCGCCTTCTCTGCAATCATTTGGGCCGAATCTTCTCGTACATGAACTTCTGGACGTGCTTGTTATCCGGCTGCATGAGCTTCTTCTTGTTGAACTCGAATTGGGCCAGCGCGAACTCGTACAGATCGTTTTCCATTTGCCAGATTTTGGTCTTTTGAATGGCTTTAATTGTGGACTCGCTTGGCGGCAGCTTGGAAGATGTCACACGCAGGTGGGATTTGTTTGAGTTGTGATAGTGCTCACGAAAGCCGTGAAAGATTCTATGAAAGGAACAGGTAAACTAACATGAACTCAACACATTAGACAGGAGCTCACCTGGGCAGTGATCTCTCCAGCAGATCCACAAACTCGTACATCTGCTCGGTGACTCCGACTAGGAAGTACTCGTTGACTAGATTGCGCTTGGCCTGATCCAGGGCCCAACTGCTGCCGGGTTCCCAGCACTCGGCGGCATGGCCGCAGAAGAAGGGTATCTGCAGCCACATGTTCTTTGGATCACAGTCGGCTTGCTTCTGCACCACGCACTCGTCGAAGGTCTGTGGAAAACATGGGGGTTCTGGGTTAATGCCATCTAAACCTTACTAGCATACTAACAATCTTGTTGCCCGCCTTCTTGCGCACTAAATTCGGTCGGTAGTTGTCGCCGAAGCGTAGAAAATAATAGTAAGAGACAAGTCTGTCCAGAGGCTTGCGCACTAGATTTATATATATGGGCTTGTGGGCGATTTGGAACCTGCAATGTGGAGATAATATTTAGATGGGATCTGCTGGGTTTGGTGATCTACGTACTTGGAGAAGTCCAGGAAAGCCATGTGGCCATGATACAGAGCTGGTTTCATCTCGTGCCATCGCGAAACGTTTCGCACAAATTGGATTTGATTGGGCAGCGAGAGGACATGCATATTGGCAGTCACATTGATGTGCAGCACGTGGAATTTGTTCGGCTTGCAGAGATCGTATGCAATGTTGACAAAACTGGTGGATCCTGTCTTTGGAACGCGGTTGTACAGCACCACCAGGTGCTCCTCGAAGTCGAAGTCATCGGTGGCTGACGAGGCATGCTGATCGGGGGTCAGAGATTCACCCAATTTGGACAGTGGCTTAAAGGCTGTGTAATAGGAGTGGTATATACATAAATCCTTATCTGTTAACTTGTTTTCAAGCCTCCACTTACCATGTTCCAAGCGAATCTCCGACCAGAGCAGCCAGTAACCCGCACAGGTCAGCACGCACAGGGCTATCAAAATCAGCCAGTGGGTGGGTCGCAACAGAATCCACATCTTGAGTAGCTTCCTAAACATGCCTCTTATCGGTTTGCCCTAGACTTCAGCAGGGCAGCTCATATCAGGAGATTATTTCAGCATAATTTCATGCCGTTGGGCTTGTTTTTTCTGCTGCAGCTGCTCGACAGTGTTGCAAAGCACCGAAATTAGTCTGTCGGAATGTGCAGCTGCAGCAGGAATGCGCAGATAGCTATAAGTCAGCGGGGAGTAATATCATCAAAATTATGGTGTACTGATGAATTACTGAAGTTATATCATCCGTTTGTCCGATGTTTCGGAAAACTTTTATTATTATATTTCTATTGGTTTTCTAGGTTTAAAACCTGACTTTGTTTCTCCATCTCTTTCAGTTAATGTATTTAACTTAAATCACTTCTAATCTTAAAAATAATTTACAATAAAAAATGTTTACATTGCCTATAATAGCTATATGCTCGTCACCCTGTTGCTTTTAGCATCTCTGTCGCGATTAGTGTGACCAACACCCCCGGCTTACAATACCAAGCAATGCCAATATTCTAGCGCCCATTTTTTGCGAGGTTAAAATAAATTTCGCAAGCCGGCTGCAATTGCCAAGTACAGTGTCTGTTTTTAATTTATTTAATCGAGAGTAGAGTACAAAGTAGACTTACCATGGCCATATCCAACTTCAGTTTTGTCAGCATGGCAGCCCAACTGGGCCAGGAGCAGGGCATTTCATTCCAGGACAAGGCGCTCACCTGGGACACAGCTGCCGATGGTGAGTTTTGATGATGCTTTAAATGCCCCGTTTAGTGGCTAAAATACTCCTTGCAGTCCAGGATGTGGTCGATGCCCTCAACAAACAGACCACTGTGCACTACCTCAATCTGGACGGGAACACCCTGGGCGTGGAGGCTGCCAAGGCGATTGGGGAGGGCTTGAAGCGTCATCCGGAGTTTCGGAAGGCGCTGTGGAAGAACCTCTTCACGCGTCGCCTCAAATCGGAGATTCCGGAAGCCCTTAAGCACCTGGGAGCAGCTCTAAATGTGGCGGGTGCCAAGCTGACGGTTCTGGATCTCAGCGACAATGCCTTGGGACCGAATGGCATGCGGGGACTGGAGGAGTTCCTGCGCTCACCCGTCTGCTACTCACTGCAGGAACTGCTGCTGTACAATTGTGGCCTTGGTCCCGAGGGCGGCCTCATGCTGTCCAAGGCTCTGATCGATCTCCATGCCAATGCCAAAAAGGCGGGAACCCCGCTCCAGCTGCGTATCTTTGTGGGCTCACGTAATCGTCTGGAGAATGCGGGAGCCATCTCCCTGGCCGCTGCATTTAAAACCCTCAAGACCTTCGAGGAGATTGTTCTGCAGCAGAACTCCATTTACATCGACGGAGTGGAGGTCCTAGCCGAAGCCTTCAAGGAGAATCCGCATCTGCGGGTGCTGAACATGAACGACAACACCCTGAGATCCTCGGGAGCGGAAAAGATCGCCGAGATTCTGCCCTTCCTGCCAATGTGAGTCGGTTGCATTCAAATTCTAGAGAGTATGTTTTTAAGGGCTGTTTAACATTGCAGGCTGCGGGAATTAAACTTTGGCGACTGCCTGATCCGTACAAATGGCGCCTACCACTTCGGTGAGGCTCTGGAGAACTCCAATGATCAACTGGAGGTTGTCGAACTGGGATTCAACGAAATCAACAGCGATGGTGGCATGGTCCTGGTGAACGCCATGCGAAACAAGCCCAAGCTACGCTTACTCAACCTCGATGGCAATTGCTTCGGTGAAGAAGGCGCCGAACAGATAGTCAGCGAAATGAATCAGTTGCCGACTGCTTCCGCCTTGCAACCGTTCGAAGAAAATATCTCCGAAGAAGAGGAATCGGGCGAGGAGGAGGAGGAGGCTGATTATGATGAGGATGAGGATGAGGACTACGATGAGCACGAGCATGCCAACGATACCACTGAAGAAGCCGACGAGGATGACGAGGAGTACAACACCCAGGCTGAGGAGACTGCCTATGTCACCACCAATGCCTACACGACCAAGGTAAGCTAGGTGTTAAATACCAAAATGGATTGCATGAAAGCTAAATTCCCAAATATTTCACAGCTTTTTAATGATACCAACTTGAATGCCAGCGATACGTTTGCGGTCACCGGCAAGACGGTCATTCAGAAATGCACGCCCGAGGAGTTCTGCCTGAGCCAGACGCCCTGCTCCCAGGAACAGTTTGACTCCTTGGATCAGGATAACAAGTTCGAGGCCCTGCAGTCCATTGTCAACGTAAGTTATAGAGGGTATATCATATTCGAAATGGGTTAAACATTTTGTATCTCGTTCAAATAGCAATTCACCGGAGACAACCACTTGCTGCTACTCGTCTTCACCACTTTGAAGTGCGCGCATTTGTCGCAATCATCGAAGGCTGCCTTGGATCTGGCCGTCTCCCTGTACCAGGCCACCTTTGACTACGCCATTAAGACGAAGCAGGAGACCCGTGTGCTGAACTATGTGCTAATGCAGCTGCGACTGCTGCGCTGCGAGGAGCCCTTTAAGTCGGACTACGATGTCAAGGGATGTCGCTTTGCACTGCGCGAGGCCCTGAAGCAACCGAAGTTCGCCAACGACAACATCAAGAATTCCTTCAAGAATTTTCTGGATAAAGTTGATGTATAAGCCTTGTAGAAGCTTAAGACATTATTTATATATTCTACGTTCCAATACAATGCATCTTTGGTGAATAAACATTAATTATTCACATCTTATGTTTTATTTACGACCTATATCTACAGCCATTATAAGACCCCTAAAGACAAAGAACAAAAGTTATTGGGTAAAATTGATTTATTTACATGAAGAAAACTTTTGAGACTACAAACTATGTTTATGAAACATGTTAATACATCGATATTATGTTTGTGAATTCCTCTTAGTGGCTTAACTTGCTGTTCTGGAACACAGAATCAGCTAAAGTAAACGAATGTGGCGAAGTTGTTAGCTAAAGTAAAACTGAAACACGGAAAGTAAAACATTGACGTAAACTTCGAGGAGAACATTGAAAGGTTATGAAAATATAAACAACCGTAGCGAGTAAGTCCGCAGCACATAAAAGTGCCTGCTTCAGATTCTCGATACGGATAATGCTGATTCCAATCGTCGGTTTCCTTGTTAAATACTTGTAATATCTTTGCGCCCATCACTGGAAATCGGAATCATCATCATCATCAAATGTTACTTCATCATCGCTTTCGATGACGGCGCGCCGTTTCTTTGGCGGTGCCTTCTTTTTGGCTCCACCGCTGCTCTCCTCATCTCGACCACGCTTGGTTGGACGCTTGGGCGAGTCTTCATCACTGTCACTGGCATCATCATCAGATCCCACGTTGCCATCGCCATCTTCATCGGAGAACAGTGAGCTGTAGTCTATCTTCTTGCTGGCCTGTCGACGACCAGGCCGATCCGCCCGAGGAGTCACCTCCTCCACTGAGTCGTCGTCGCTCTTCTTGGGCTAAAAAAAATAAAAACGATGTTAATAATTAATTTACGATGCATTACAATATAAACATTCAATTAACTTGTCTTCATTTCAATAATTTCTCAATTATATGGAGCAAACTTACCTTGGCTTTGCTGAAGTCAATTTTGCTCTGCTTGAGTCCGCCGCCGTTCTCCTTCTTCTGGCGGGGCTTCCTCTCTGCCGGCTCCTTCTTGACAGCTGCTGCCTTTTTGGCCTTGGGTGAGGATTTCGCACCGCCCTCGACCATTGCATCAAAATCGTCCATATCGTCGCCGCTAGCATCCGGATCGGCCTTAATCTGCTTGCCCTTTGGCTCCTTCTTCACCTTGGGCTCCTTGGGTTCCTTCGGTTTCTTTGGCTCCTTGGCATTCTGGGCCAACTTAGCCGCCAGCGCCATTTTCTTGACTATGTCCTCGGTTACCTTGAACTCCACATGTTCGCCCTCGGGATCGGGGAATACGTCTCCTGTGGCCAAAGAGCCTGCCGCAGCCTTAGCCTTTCTGCCCTTGCCTGCAACAGCCTTCTGGCCCTTCATCGCCTTTGCTGTCTTCAGATTGATGCCCTGCTCCTCGAGGCGCTCCTTCTCTTCCACTTCATCTAGCTTGGCCTCCAGAGCATCCAAATCGTCAAGCCAAAGCAGCTCGGGCGTCTTCTTGCGCAGATTCTCCAGTTCGGCCAGCTTGGCGTCGCGCTGTTTGAGCAGCTCGTTCTTCTTCTCCTCTGTCAACATCCACATGGACATGCCCAGGAGGTAGTCGAACTTCTTTACATCGGTTAGCTTCTTGAAAGCCTTATCCGGATCGACTTCCTTCTCTTTTTTAACCTTCGAGCTGCTGCTGGTAGCTGCCTCCTCTTCTTCGTCATCCTCCTCGTTAGCTGGCTCGGCATCCTCCAACTTGATGCGGCGCTGCCACTCCTTGACGGGATCTGGACGGTAGCCACGCTTCACCAGCTCATCGCACATGGCCTTCCGCTGCTTGTTCTCCACCACCAACTTTTTCTCGCACTTCTCGAGAATGAAGCGAGCCTGGTCACTGAGCCGATCGGCCTGCGCCGTCAGCTGGCCCACCAAAAAGTCCTTCCGGCGAGCGTAGTACTCACGACGAAGCTGGTAAAACTCTTTGATGATATCGATGGCGGAGGGGAAACGCCGCAAACAGTTGTTCTGATCGAAGGCGTGCATTTGGTTGGTGGAGAGCGTTGTGGTAAGTTTAAACACTCGATAGAAGCCACCCTCCTCAGCTTGAATTCGTTCAAATTCACCAGGCGCAAAGCTAATCACAAAGCGAACGGTGGTGTCCGTGTGGAACTCCCTGTAGTCGGATACAATTGCCTTAACCTTTTCGGTGCCGTTCGACAGCGGCTCCAGCACGTTCTCCTTGTAATTCTGCGTCCAAACGCCCACAGGAAGTTCGGTGATTTCCACCTTATTCCCTGGCAGAATTTGAATGTTTCCTGTCTGCACATACCGGCCATCCGATACGTACTCCATGCGTCCGGTGAAGTTCTTGTACCAGGGATGCATAGGCGTCGGCTCTTCTCCGTTAATCATCTTCTTTAGATTGCGCATTATCTCTCGGGGATTGTGGTTGGCTATCTTCGTGGACCAACCAGTTCCGATGCCCTCAGCACCGTTTACCAGCACCATCGGAATGATGGGCAGGTACCACTGGGGCTCAATCTTCTGGCCATCGTCCACCTGGTAGTCCAGCAGCGGATCGTCCAAGGGATGGTAGATGAGTCGGGTCAAGGGAGACATCAAAGTGAAAATATAACGAGCACTGGCGCAATCCTTGCCGCCCGTCAAGCGAGTACCGAACTGACCGCGTGGCTCCAGGAGATTTATATTATTTGCGCCCACATAGTTCTGGGCCAGATTAACGATGGTCATCTGCAGCGAAACCTCACCGTGGTGATAGGCCGACATCTCGGCGACGGAACCAGACAGCTGGGCCACCTTAACCTCACGCTTGTCGTTCCTCTTGAAGCAGGTGAACATCACCTTGCGCTGACCTGGCTTCAAGCCGTCCACCAGACTGGGAATGGAACGCTCGTTGTCCGCATTGGAGAACAGTACCAACTCCAGGTTGATAAAGTCCGCGTAGGTGATGTACTTGGTGCCCTTGGCGTACAGGTAGCGCTCTGGCAATCCCAGCTCCTTGCGCCGCTTCACCTCGTCCATGTGGTTGGTGAGCCACACCTTTCTTGACTCAATATGCTTCTTGGAGAATGCCATGACAATGCTCTCATCATCCACCGAGCCATCGTACTTAAACAGGATGCGATGGCGTTCCATGTCCTGGAAGTACTCCTTCGCCTCCTTGGAGGTCGAAGTACCCAAACCCTTATAGTATTTGATATTATACGTATGGTGATTGGCCGTATCGTTTTTCCACTCTTCGAACTCGGGCAGCGAGTAGAACGAGAGCTCCTCGTTCTTTTTGGTTGCCTTTACAATTGGCGTAATGAACTCCTCAAGGAAGGGCAGACGCAGCAGCTCCGGCCAGTTGGTGTGGATAAAGTTGATCAGCAGACCCTTGATGTGGGAGCCGTCCTGATCCTGATCTGTCATGATCATAACTTTGCCGTAGCGCAGCGTCTTGAGATCATCCTCGGTGAGATACTTCTTTTTGTACTGCAACCCGATGATCTTGCACAAGTTGTTGATCTCGGCATTCTCGGACAGCTGCTTGAAATTAGCCTCGCGTACGTTGAGAAGTTTACCCCTAAGCGGGAATACTCCGTAGAAATTACGGCCAATGACGCCCAGGCCGGAAACAGCCAAAGACTTGGCTGAGTCTCCCTCGGTGAGGATGAGGGTGCAGTTGATTGAATTCTTGCCACCGGCCTCGTTAGCGTCCTCCAGCTTCGGAATGCCCTTTATTTTGCTCGATTTGCGACCACCCGTCTTGGCAATGTCATTCTGGGCCTTGAACTTGGCCCACGCCAGCACAGACTCCACGATGCCAGACTTGGACATATTGTTGATGAACTTCTCGGATAGAGTGCACTTGGAACCGAAGCCCTTTTGTTGCAGCGTCATGTTCTCCTTAGTTTGCGAGTCGAATGTGGGGTTCTCAATCAAACAATTGACGAAAACCCAGAGATGATTCCGCACCTGGAAGGGCTTGATGTTAATGCCACCTGGAAGGGATTGCAAAGATCAGTATGAGCTCGAGGTAATTCAAAGCAAAACCCACCTTTGTTCTTCTTCTTCAGCACTTCGAGGAGCTGCTTGATGAGATTGTCCACTACGTGGTCCACATGCCTACCACCCTTGTAGGTGGCTATTGAGTTGACAAACGAGACCTGCTGGAAGCCGCGGTCCGAGGGACAGCAGGCAACCTCCCAGCGCTCGTTGGCTACCTCGTGAACAATTTTAATGGGTGGACCGGAGTCTTCGTCCGTGCTCTTGACGTGGAGATCAATGTAGTCCTTGAAGTTCCGCACCGCCAGCTTGTTGCCGTTAAGAAAGACGGATACACCCTTGGATGAGGCGGCGACATCGTATGCACGTCGGGACATCAGAGCCACAATATCTTCATCAAGACTTTCCATCTTGAACTTGGCCAAATCGGGACTGAATGTGATGCGAGTGAAATCGGTGCCACTAAAGTCCTTGATCTATGGGTTGGATGGAATGGATTAGGTGTTCTCAAGTATACAATAGTATTTAATTACCTTCACTTCAGAAGCCTTTCCCATGTTGTCGGCCCAGGTCTGCTTAAAGCTCCGTCTGTACTCCCTCGTGGCGGTCTCCACGGTGAAGCTGGTGGAGAATATGTTGCAGAGTTTAGCTCCGTATCCGTTCCTGCCGCCGGTGACCTTCTTCTCGTCATCGTTGTAGTTCGAGGAGGTCAGCAGATGACCGAAAATCATCGTGGGCACATACATCTTCTGCTCCTTATGCATGGTCACCGGAATACCCTGACCGTTGTTCCACACGGACACCACATTCCGCTCCGGATCGATGTCAATCTTGATGGTGTTCATGCTCTTGTCGCGCTGCTTGTTATCCGCCGCATTCACGAGGATCTCATCGAAGATCTTATACAGGCCGGGCACAAAAGAGATCTCCTTCTGGACCATCCTGTTCTGCGAGCTGTCGAACACCCACATCAGCTCCTTGGTGAACTCCACGGACCCAATATACGAGTCCGGGCGCAGCAGGATGTGCTCCAGCTGCGACTTCTTCTGGTACATCTGTTCGATGGACAGTGCGCTACCCTTGCTTCCGTTCTCCATGATGCTACTGCTGGTGTGTCTTAGATGGATCTTTGAAAGGTACAACGAAAATTATTGTTAGTCTACTGAAGCAACTGTACGCGAAACTATAAACAGCTTCCGCATTAGCCGCTATTAATCACTGCGTATAGGTTTGTCGATTTATTTTTTAGTTGTCTAGGAAAAGACTATCAGAAAACTACAGTGTTCCTTAAAGAATTTGAAATTATGACATTGTTTTATATATTTGTAGTTTATGTCTACTTCTATTAAAGAAAGATGTTCTGCTGAAAAAATTTAATTCAGTTTTAAGAATTTTCAATACCTAAAATTTTTTTTTTATTTTTAAAGAATATATTTCTTTTTAAAAAACAATTTTTAATTGGAAAGGTTTTTTTGCTTAAAAAATGTAAAGAAATTGTTCAATTTCAAATGGTTATTTTTTTATACAGCCATTAAATATTCTTTAATTTTGTTAATAGAACAAATCCTTTGGATTTTACATTCTTACAGATTAGTTCCTTTTTAAATCCCCCTTAATGACACCATACTGTACTCACAGTAAAATAAAAAAACAAACGCGCGCACGCGCAATGATCGTATTCTATCCAGACAACTCTGGAATGGGACTAGGACAAATGGGAACAAGTTGGGTGCGTTATATGGAAAGTATCTTAAAGACAGCGAGGCCAAGAAACTATAAAATATCGCAAAACCCTACTATTCCCCACTTGTGTTACTGTACTGGGAACAGATTTCGGCACATTTTAAAATAACAACAGTTTCTTTGGCGGCAACGCTTGGCGTGCGTCTGTGTGTGTGTGCGCGATGGTACATGAGTCTGTGTGCGTGTCGATTGGCGTTTGCCGGTAAAAGTTGCAATTTAATCACTACTTTTACCGTTTACAACGATTTTCCCCTTAATATAAACAATTTTAGGGCTCAATTTCAGCTTGGCTTGGCCAACGACACGTGGGTATAGTTTTTTGCGGCCTAAATCAGCGAAATGTGCTATCTATACCGGTAGCGCCATTTTTAATTTGCAAGCGACGCTGCCGGAAAATTGCTATGTCCACTACTTTAGGGGAATGTCTGGAGTAGTTTTACCTCTTTTCCGCTTAATGTGGTGCTGTATTTCACAATAATTATCATTTTCTTCTTACCTGATTGAAAATTTGCAGAGTATTTGGCCTTTTCGGCTGCAGCCGCCTACAATCGAAGCGCGGCAAAACTTGTTGTTGCAGGCAAAAAACGAGGCGACGCACTACAATTTTCGCAATGTATGTGCGTCCTCGCGTCTACTCGTCTTATGTAAAACTAGTACAGATCGCGGTAACTAGTAGTATTCGCACCACATTAACCAACTTTTCACGAAAACCGAAAACCGACAACAAATAAAGGTGTATGGGAGAAGTGTGACCGCGATCAGTGATACCGCATACCGTCCGGCACACGGAAAAATACTCTTTTAAATATACCAAACATATTTCAAACAGGGTGACCAATAGAGCTGGAGAACAATCGATGGTGGGACCATCGATGGTTTTCGATTGTCTTAGAAAAACAATCGATGTACTATCGATGGTTTAAAAAAAATAAATAAATAAAAAAAACGCCAAAGTCAAAATTCTTATTAATAAATAACAACTGGTCTACAGTTTTGGACTTCAGCGCGCATCGACGGTCTGAAATTATTTGTCCTGCCTTACTAAAAGTCCTTTCGGTGGCACAGGAGGATGCTGGGACGCACAGGTATTCTTTAGCGAGGGCCTTGAAGGCTTGAAAATCATCATTGGTCATCTGAAAAAGACTTTTTTGGTTAATCTGTACAAATAGTTATACATGTCTAATACTAACCTTCCAGTGTAGTAAAGGGTCCTTGTTTTCATCATCGTTTTTTTGCTCAAAGTACTGCCGCATTAGTATTATTGAGTCTGCCCTGTTTGATGTAACTTTATTAGACAGTTTACCTTGCAGGTAAGGATAAAAGCTTGGTTGTGGTGGTGCTGGAGCTGTGGAACTAGCATTCGAATTCATAGACAATATTTCGTAGAGCTTCAACTCCAAAGCCTTAGCAGCTTGTTCAGCATTCGATGGTAGAAAAAAGCCTTCCTTTTTGAAGCGTGGATCTAGCAGTGTCGCAATTCTAGGGACAGTTCGTGATTCATAATGATAAAATCGTTCTTTGATACGAATTTTGATCAAGTCATGAGCATCCTGAGCCGCTTTCGAATTATATATTCATATATATTAATTCACTTGTTCGCTTGCCAGCTTGCCAACTCCCGCTAAAAAAGTGATGGGCAAAAAAAAGGAAAACCATTGATAGTGAGAAAAAACAATCGACTTTCACGAAATTTTGAGACAGCAACAGCAGGGCGCTGCTGTCAGCGCTTCTTTACACGCCATCTATAACAGCCCTGTTATTTTTTTTTTGTAAGCTATATATATTATGCACGGACCGCAAATTAAAGTTATCAATTTAAACTCAGTACAACGCCCAAGGAATTTTAAGGCGCCACCAACAAAGTTTTGTGACATTTTGTTAAAACTATTATTTAAATGCTATGCCTGTTGCCTAACTTAATTAGTCAAAAACACAACAGTTTTCACCAGCTTTAGTTTCTCAAAACCCGAAAGGTTTATTGAAATACATTTAGACCTCCAAAATAGAATACTTGATATTTTTTCTAAACATATACAGACAATTAGATAATAAAAACCTGAGTTAGCTTATAGCCTTAAATTTGCTTTAATAATTAAAGAATAAAAACAGCATCCATGTTCCGAATTCCACCGTTCCACTTTAGCTGCTTGACATCATCGCATTTCACGGTACGGGCACACTGGGACAGAGGCGAGAAACAAAAACAACAAGACAGGCGAGGGAATGAAAAATAAAAGGAGACGGACGACCAAAAACCGACAAACGAAAAGCAAGGAGGGATAAAGGAGTCGAGATCAATTAAACACCGCCGGACTTCACACGGAGAAATTTGTCATAGAAATTGGTTCTTTTGTAAACAAAACACAAACTCGCAAACACACACGTTTCTTTCGCATGCGTTACACAATTGTGGATTGTGGAGTGTCAATTTGTCCGGAATCAGTGTAAATCGCGATGAGTATTTGGGGTGTCCGATGTCTGACGCAGAAGTTCATCCGGCAGGCGTACATCCTGGCCAACAGGAGGATACTGGGACCAGTTCCGCAGCGCTCCCCGCCGGCGTACGGTAAGTGAGGTTATGGCCGCCGCACCGCAGGGTCAATTTGTATTTCATGTTTTCATAAGTTTACTGATCTTGTGCTCCTCCTCCTCCATTTCAGCTCCTCTGCGGCCGGCACACAGCAGCCTTTATCAAATGGTAAAGAAACGCACCCTCGAGGCGCGCACCAAATTGCAAGCCAACAAGTATCCGAATCATCAAGCCTGCGTCGCCAAGCCCTCGACCACGCCCCCTCCTGAGGAGTTCGGCGCGGTTGTGGAGGGCACCTCCATGCCCACCTACGCCAATGCCCAGTTTCAAGCCCCATCCCAGTCGGAGCCACTCTTCAAAGTGGTATCCATCGCCCATCATCATTCATCATCCATTATAGCTGGATAAGTTCGGGGATGCAAACGATGGGATCGGATCTCACCCAAAACTGTAGTAACTGATCCATTTGGTACTACTGGTTGTCAGGCTCACTGTTTTTTTTTATCGAAGTGATAATTGTCTCAGGATTGCTAGCTTATTTGGCGCCAAAATACTAACTTTAACCCCATGGCGCTTACTTAACTTAATATCAGTGCTCTTAAAGCTATTTATACTCAAATTTTAACAAAAGTTAGTCTGTTTGTATTGATATTATCAAAACGTATTGCGTTCTATCTGCTGTTATTAGCAATTATTCGAAATCATGGTGAAATAATATCAAAATTGCTAGTTTGACAAGGGAATTTTTCATTTAACAAGCTTAACAATCCGAAACCATTTTGCATCCCTTTCCAAGAATCCTATAGACATTTAAACAAATATCTTATTTTTAGGGCTTTGCTGATGTCAAGAGTGTCTGTAGCGCTAAGGATGTGCTGAAGTCGGACAGTGCTAAGCTCAGCACCAGTCAGCCAGTCCTAGATTCCTGCAAACCCACGAACGCCTGTGAGGAGTTCAAGCGGAAACGCAAGGAGACAACCTGCCAGCCCTGCAACGAGGATGGAACTGCTCCCGGTGGCAGTGGTGGCGGCGATGAGGAGTGCGAGTGTCGGATGAAGGACCTGCGGCTGAAGTGCCTGCTGGGAGCACTGGCTGCCCTGTTAGCCGGAGGATTGGTATGTTTCCAACCAATGATTCAAGCAGATCCTTTATAATTAGCTTCTTATATTGAAGCTCGCCTGGTTCATGACGCGGGATACGGATGACAGTGAGGCCAAAAAAGCCCAGGAAGAGGAGGAGGAACGGAAACGTAGATTAATAGCTGGACTAGCTACGAGTAAGTGAGATTTATAGATCTATCGAATAGGTGCAAAAATAAATATACCTCATTTTTGTGAAGAACATTCTGGAATGTAAAAAACATTCGCATTCAGATAAGCACAATCACGATCGTATAACCATTACGAACAAATTACAAAATAATTGTCATGTTGCTTATCATAAGCCAATGGGTGCATAGATAAAAGGGTCTACAAAATGTGAAATTCAGTGGTATATCTTTTCTGTCCTTATCCACAGGTCCGCCCAGTTCTGCAGACCTTCCCAAGCATGTGCCGTACCTTATTATCGGTGGCGGAACCGCTGCCTTCTCTGCGTTCCGAGCCATCAAGTCCAACGATGCAACTGCCAAAGTTTTGATGATTAGCAATGAGTTCCGCAAGCCCTACATGCGTCCTCCGCTGTCCAAGGAACTGTGGTACACGCCCAATCCGAACGAGGATCCCATCAAAGATTATCGCTTTAAGCAATGGACGGGTTCCGAAAGAAGGTAGGTCTTAATTAAGAATTATAGGGAAACTATTTAATTCTTGGATCCCTTACAGCTTGTTCTTCGAGCCGGACGAGTTTTTCGTGGACCCCGAGGATCTGGATGACAGTGCAAACGGTGGAATTGCCGTCGCTCAAGGTTTCGCTGTGAAGAAGGTGGACGCGCAAAAGCGCATAGCAACGTTGAACGACGGCTATGAGATTAGCTACGACGAATGCCTGATCGCCACAGGTTGTGCCCCCAAGAACCTCACAATGCTGCGCGATGCGCCGCCCAGCGTTCTCGAAAAGGTAATGGTCTACCGCACGCCCGATGACTTTGATCGCCTACGAAAATTGGCGGCGGAGAAGCGATCAATAACCATTGTAGGCAACGGTTTTATCGGAAGTGAGCTGGCCTGCTCTCTGGCGCACTACTCCAGGGAGAACAATGGCGGCAAAGTGTACCAAGTGTTTCAGGAAAACGCCAACATGTCAAAGGTGCTGCCCAACTACTTGAGCCGCTGGACGACGGCAAAGATGGAAGCCCAGGGCGTCTGTGTCATCCCCAATGCCAGCATTCGATCGGCGGTGCGAGATGAAACCAATCTGAAGTTGGAGTTGAACAATGGAATGACTTTGATGTCCGACGTGGTGGTGGTCTGTGTGGGCTGCACACCCAACACAGATCTAGCGGCCCCCAGTAGATTGGAGGTGGACAGAAGTCTGGGTGGTTTCGTGGTCAATGCGGAGCTGGAGGCCAGACGGAATCTCTACGTGGCTGGCGATGCTTCCTGCTTCTTCGATCCTCTGCTGGGCAGACGGCGGGTGGAGCACCATGATCACTCGGTGGTCTCTGGTCGGCTGGCCGGCGAGAACATGACAGGAGCAAGTAAGTTATTATAATGTCTCTTAAAATAGTCAACCATTTTAATGTAATCCCTTTCCTTTAACAGAAAAACCTTATCAACATCAAAGCATGTTTTGGTCCGATCTGGGCCCAGAGATCGGTTACGAGGGAATTGGCCTGGTGGACTCTTCCCTGCCCACCGTTGGCGTATTCGCCCTGCCCTCGGATAGCGCCAAACGCGTAGACCAACTGTCCGACTCCAGTGATCCTGAAATCCCAACGACCACGAATACCAGCCAGTCGACAAAAAGCGATGCCACTGGCAGCACCGGTGGCGTTACCTGTGATCCCGATGAGGCGGCCAACTATGGCAAGGGTGTGATATTCTACTTGAAGAACGACAAGATCGTCGGCATCCTGCTATGGAACCTCTTCAATCGGATAGGCTTAGCTAGGACAATAATCAATCAGAATAAGAAGTACGATGACCTCAATGAGGTGGCCAAACTGTTCGAGATTCATGCGTAGAAACCGTAGTGTCCCAAAGGACCAAGGAGTAGATCTTATCACAATCCTGGAAAGCTTATTAGCCCGCAGCGAAGCAGAAACGATCAGAACCGGATGCCTTAAACTATGTTTACTGTGTACATATGCAACTGCAACTAGGTACGAACGGCAATGGCGCAATGCAACAGAAATTTTAGTTTTATTATTTTTGGAATAAACCTTTTTTTGTAGTCGACGACATTGATACGGTTATGTGGCAGCAATATGCGTATCTGCATGTAAATATTTAAAAGTCGTGGATAAGAAGATATCTGTTGAATTGTGTGTAATTTTTCCTAATAAAAGAAGCACCAAAAAAATTTGTTGACACAAAATTGCACGTACCACCTGAATTGTATACGTTTTGCATTTTCACTGATTATGAGGCATTCATTATTTAACTAGACTTAAGCGTTTTTGCTTTTATTTTGATTTAAATAAAGCTTAGGATCTTTGAAACGGATTTTGTTTTATTAAAAAAACACGGCTGATAAAACCATCAAATTATAGAACATTAAACATAGGACACTAACCTCCAAGGACTAACTCTACGCGAAATATTTCCGGAAATATTTTATTCATTTTAATGGCAAAAACTTTGATCGGCAATTCATCATGCGAATTTTAAAACAAAACAACGTAGCAGTTTTTAATTCTTAATCAAAAATGCTCTAAGGATAGAAGAAGCACTAAGTAATTATAACTTTTACTCTGGCATGAATCATGTACTCTATTTGTTTATTATCCGATTTGTCATTTCAGAGTTAAAAAAGTTTGACATTTTAAAGATTCTGAAAATTTCAAAGAAGTTTTACCATCTGCCCTAAAAGGACTGCACCTGGCTTGTTAAGGTGTCGGGGATTAGCGGCCAATAATTCAAGGATCTTTTAAAGCCTGGTGATAGATTTCGTGAAATATAACCAACCTTGGTTTACTAAAATCCTACCTGTTTTTCCCAAAGGTTACTTATTAGGGCCACTGGAATTACCACCCAATTGGTAGGTAGAACTTTGGAGTGGATGGCACCTTTACAGGTAAATTCTTGAGCTATATAAACATTGGTCTGAAGCTATCAGGACATCAGTTCCTTTTCGACAGTTACACCATGAAGTACCGTATGTTGAATAAGCGCAAGCAAGCGACTCCTTCGCCAGTGAGGCAATCCGAGGTGGAAGACACATCCTTGGCCAATCACAGTGCCCTGGAACTGGAGGCAGCTGCAGCACTCCTGTTGCTTCGATACCAATACGATCGACAGGCCTGCAGCAGTATTATATCCTACACCGAATCCTGCTCTCCTCCAACTCCTCCGCCTGCTGTGGCTGATAATACAACGCCAAAGGATCAGACTGTTCGTCCTCCAGTCGCCAGTCAGCCGCTGAAGAAACGCTCCATACCATCGCATCTCCTTAGAAGATCCGTCACACCTGCCAGGTCCGAGAGTTCCGTGATCAATAAATCTATAGTCAAGGCCAAAACCAGGACACCAATTCCCGCCAGTGAGCGCAGCTGCAATAGGTCCCTGCTCAAATCCTGCAGGAATATGATACGTGAATTCTTGGACAATCAGGAGCTCATCTGAAAACAACAATTTACTAAAGTATTTAAGATTAATTATAACATCCCACCATTCTTGTTTCAAGATTTAAAAGTTTAAGATTTAAGAAATCTTTTAAATGAACGATGCCGACTTTTAAGATTTTGCAAAAAACATCTTCAGTGAATTTTAAAAAACGAAACTATTGAATATATAACGCCCAGTAAATGCCATGCCCAATGATTAAGTCGATCCCCAGGATCTCGGATTTCACTTTTCAATTTATTTATTGCATATAAATTTGTTTCCTTTTTTTTATACATATATAAATTATGTATTGATCGAAAGATAACGTTTTCAATGGAAGAACAGGTATTGTGGCGACACTAGAGTGCTAATTATTAGCTATTGGCGGTGTTTAAACTTAAGGCGTACGAAAAACAAATAGAAAATTATGTTTACCATAGATCTACACAATAATTAATAATTACAGTTGCACTACAGGCTAAATGTATGAACGTGCATTGATGATATTTCTCTCCCTAACTCGCTTCATTCGGTTTAATATACTTAATAAAGTGCTTCAAATGTACATTTTCTATTGTTTCATTGTTTTTAGCTGGTGAGTGGGTGGTGGGGTGTGTGGCGGTAAGATCGTAAGCGTTTTACAAACTAAAGTTGTTAATGCGTAAATGAACACCTTCATTTGCTGCTAACTGCTGCTGGGCTGCCATTTAATTGCAGCCGCTTAAACTAGCGTACAAATAATATAATAAAAGTAATGATAATAATAGAAAACTAATGTGTATACATATATGCTTGTGTGTATCATCATTGCTATATTAAAATGGAAGCCAATGTTTTTTTTATATAATGTTTATAATGTGTGTGTTTTCTTGTTGCAGTGTATCTAGGGCTAGGGGCTCAATTTAAATTGAATTTTGAAAGCTCTCTTTTCAGGCTGATCTTGAACAAACAGAGCAGCCCCATCCTTGTTTAAGGGATCACAAAACTGTTTCAGTTTCGTTTTTTGGAACTGCTCTTTCTCTTCGGGACCATTCAGCCAATGTGAATCAAAGATAATTCTGTTGTTATCACAAGAAATCAATTTGCCATGTTGTATACAAAAAACTCTTTCTATGCTGATTTGTATATTAATTAACAATTTCACCAACAATTCAAATTTCATATTTCATTTCCTTCACTTTCTTTCGATTTTAACAATGTTTGTTGGTTTTTGTTTTCATAAATTTGAAACCATTGTTGAGGCAACATTTGTAAAGCTCAAAGGTGGCAACACTTACGCTCTAAGCTACTAATTCTAGTTCTTACTCCTTAATCGCTAGTCATTACTCAGATAATTGATTATGGTTAGGCTTTTTTTGTTTTGTTTTTTGTTTGTTTGATAAATGTAGAAGTTGGCACATAATCGAAGGCTGCGCTGCGCCGGCTCAAGAAATCTACTTACAACAACGAAATTACATGCACTCTGCTTTCGCTTAGGGATAGCTTATTAAATACGCTTGATCTATAAAATATATGTATGTATGATTGTGTGTTGGTTTATGCAGATGTGATTTCTATATACAGAAAGTCGGACGGGTCGTTGTACATTGGCAAAGAACTAAAGGAACGGAAAGTAATCTTTGATTTTAAATTTGAGTAACAATTTGTGTGTATTAAAGTATTTCTTTTCCAGTTATCATATGAAACTTCCAAGTGAAATGTCTTCAAATTCTACAAAGATTAGTTTTTCGTTTCCCCTGAGTACTACGCAACCCATCCTAACCGAAAGGCATCCAGATCTTTGTCCAGCAGGGTGTCTGTGTATATGTCTGTGCGCTTGTTGTGCTGGTCCCATTTTTGCTCAGGTAATGCTGTGTGTGTGTGTTCAGGAGGGAGGTGAAGATGGAAGTAGTGTGGTTGATTGTCACAGGATACTGCTCCGCCTACTGCCGCATATGCCGGAAGGAGTCCTCCGACTCGCCGCCATTGCAATCGCTTTCCATGGGCACTGGTTGCGCCTGTTCACTGGCCTGATCCATCGGCCGGGGCGAGCTGCTGCTGGCATTGGAGGCGGTTGGCTGCTGGTCTTCCGGCTTCGGAGATTGCTCCGCTGGCGAAGGGTGATCGTTGTAGCGTATCAGCTTGATGGTCGTCAGGCCGTCAGCGTTGCGAATGAGTCTGCGGAGCGGAAGTTTGGATTAGCTCACTGATACAAACAAAATTCGACTTCCACTTACGGATAGCAGTCCTCGTTGCTGGTGGCGTTGCTCTTGCTGCTCACACTCAGATCCGTGGGCTTCAGATCCTCGCCAGCGCTTTCCGAACCCGATCCCGAACCATTCTCCAGCTTCAGGGGATGGAACTGGAACTTGTCGGGTCCTCCAACGGCGGATGGGGTGTTCAGGGCAGGGGAGTTGGGTGGCGGACCAGCTGCCGCCGCCGAAAGGTAGTGGAAGGCTCCGTTCATCGCGTGCATGAAGAGCGGCGATGTGGGCGGCGGACCATAGGCTGCAGCAGCTGCTGCTGCCACCGCTGCCACGGCGGGCAGGCTCATGGGACCATTCCGCGAGGCGGGACGCTGCGGCGATTGCTGTTGTTGCTGCTGCTGCTGGGACTGTTGCTGGGGATTCCAATTGGGGCCAGCAGGACTTCCCGGAGCCTGATTGTTGCCTTGAGGCATGGATGAACCGCCACCGCCATTGCCGTTCGCCGGCGTCGTTTGCCGCAACAGCGAAATATTCTTGATGTTCTTCAGTTCCGTCGGATTGCGCAGAAACTGATAGCAATGTCGCTCGCCCTGCACTTTGCGCAATATGTTCACCCTGTAGTAGTAGCGCAGGGCACGCGACATCTTGTCGTAGTTCATGGACAGATGGTTCTTCTGGATGCCCCACAACTTGGCCAGGCCGGCGGGATCGACGATCTTGAAGACTCCCGTGTCGCGGCACTTCCAGGCTATCAGATCGCTGTACTTTTGGTTGCGATCGTTCAGCAGCTGTTGCAAAAAGTCCCACAACAGGCGACCATCTACAAATGATAAAGAAGAACAAGGGTTAGTTCTTGTTGGGGAAATTACATGTCTTGCAAACTCACTTGTATTGGGCTCCGAGTTCTCGGGGAAGAACTCCCTTTTGGCTTTGTACATATAACTGGGCGTGGTCGGTGCGGAGATGGATCCTCCAGCCGGGGCCACCACTGGGCCAGCAGTATTATCCAGGGTCAGCTTCTGGGGCAACTGTTGTTGCTGCTGCTGCTGTTGCTGCAACTGTTGCTGCTGTGCCTGCGCTGCTGCTGCGGCCACTGCGGCAGCCTGTTGCTGTTGTTGCTGCTGCGACCACGAGTTCACAAAACTATTCGTGAGCTGTTGCGTCCAATTCGGCTTGATGTCCTTCAGTATGGGTGTTCCCGGCGGACTGGCCGTGCTGTAGGACGGCGGTGCCGGTGCCATCTTGCCCAATCCACCACTGGTCTCCGAGTACTCCTCCTCGGAGTCGGAGTGATTGCTGCTGGCACTGCTGATGCCCTTCATGGGCATAATGTTCGGCTGGGAACCATTGCTGCCGGTGCTGCTGGCACTCGACGATGTGGGATTGCTGGTGCTGGTGGCTCCACCTGCAGCATTTGCTGACCCAACTCCTCCTCCTCCTGCTGGTCCTCCATTGGCGCCACCGTTTTGATAAGGTGCCTGCGGTGGACTACTCGCCTGGGAATCCACCGAGGGCGGGGGACTCAGCGTAACAGAGTTCGGTGCCATGAAATGATGACCCGCCAGACCGTGAGCCGAACTGTGGAAGGGACTGTTCTCCGGCGGAGCATTCAGTGGCGGCCACGTGGGCGTCGGCGGATGACTGTGCGGCGACAGGGGATAACGACTGGTGGGCGTCACTGGACTGTTGGGCAGATGCCACTGCATCATGTGGGACTCTATGATCAACATCTGCAGCACATTGTGGAGCACATCACCTGCGCCCGGACACCGGTGGCCGAAGTCCGCTCGTGTCAGCAGGCACAACGCCTTGCCGTTCATTTGGAAGAGATCAAAATCGAGCTTGGGGAGATCGAATTCGCGGACACAGAAGCGCAGGAAGACGAGCACATCCTCGCGGCTCCAGAGGCGCGGATCGGAGGGCAGGGATGGGGGCAGTTGTGTCTTCAGCTCCGCCAGCTGGCTGGACGGCGCCGGGGGGCAGCGCCAGAGCACATCGCTCCAGATGTTGGGATTCAGCGAGTTCAATGATAGCTGTACTGGGAGCATTTTCATTTTGGACATGCAGCCACAGTGTGTAAGGAAGTGTCCTGGTCAGCGGATCCGTATCAGTGGGTCAGTGGGAGCCACTCGAGTTGCCTTCAAATGGTGTTATCTAAAAATGAAATAGAAGAATAGGGGAAATTAATAATTTGAAGGGAACTTTATTGTAATACCAAAAAACTACAAAACTTATTTGGGAAGGCTAAAAATATTGGTAACCTTACATAGTTTTAATTCATTCTTTTGCAAAAAATGATATAATATTTTATAAGGTTTTATTTATTTCAATAACAAATCACTTGAAAGTAACTATAAGCGGTTTTAAAAGTAGTATGTGCAGTATTATGGTCTACTTAATCTTTGTTTAAGTCAATGTTCTGAGTAATCGAAGTAAATGTTTTGCACCATGATTCACATTCATTTAGAACACTGAAATTTCAAATGTTCTTTTCTAGTTGATCCTTTGAAATGCTTGGGAAAGTGTGCTTTTTTATCACTAATCCCCTTTCTTGAGTAACCATAACACACATCACACATGCTTAACACAAAACCATTTGAATTATTTCAAGCGAAACTTTTTGTTTGTTTTAAATGCTGAGTAAATCAGAGATATGGAAAACTACCACAAGATTCTCTGGCATGGAAGCAAAACACTCGTTTCTTCTGGTGGTTCAAAGTTCACTGCCGAGAAATCTCCATCGCAAAAGGATGTGGCCAATGGATGTTGTTGATCACTCGTCGACACACTTCCGCCAGCGAAATATCTTAGCGGACACATCACCTAGTCGAGGAGGGGTTGGGGGATACCACTCTGATCCCACTCCCGACGCCACACATACCGATCCAATCCTATCCGATCCGATCACAGTCGACGGGAGCAAGCGGGAGAGCGACACTCAGACAGATATTCGCATTCCAACCAAATCAGATTCAGATTTCTTCATAATCGTCGCGGGGCAGCCGATGGATGTGGATGAAATAAACAAATAATATATCTCTCCGATGCCGACGCAAGAATAACAAAAACAACAGAGAGCGCGACGGACGGACTGCGATCTATTTGTGCGTGTGAGTTTGTACGGATGATGATGATGATATAGCGATATATTATATAGCGGGGCAAGCGCATCCGAACACTACTTGGCGCAAACTGGCGGCGGGATCTCGATCTCGGAGAGCCAAGAGCGTGACTCACTGGCAGCGGCAGAGCGAGAGGCGCGTCGCAGCAGAGGATCAGGCAGCGGCAGAGGTCTGGACCGGACCTCTTTCTCTCTTCCCGTCCCGTCGCGTCCCTTCCCGTCCCTCCCTTCCCTTCCTCTCTTCCTCATCCTTCTCGATATCACCGCTCAGCGGGCATCTTCGGCAGCGGCAGCAACACACCCCCGCAGCGACCGCGGCGCAGGCAGACAAGAGGAAAAGAGCAAGAGCGGGAGAAGATCGTTCCAAAAAAATCAAAAAGAGGTTCAACCACAACGAACTAGGGAATGCGCTACACGGAGAATAAATATCATATTTTCTAACTTTACTTTAATTTTACCACCTGTCGGACATCAAATTTCTTATTGATATTCTCCTTTTTTTATTGTATGACAGTTAACTCATCAACGAGGCACCTAACATTTGGCGCCCAACGTGGGGCCTCACCTTAAATCCCCATTAGGCTTCTTCCGCTTTCATTTCCGTATAGTTAAATGATTGACAATTCACACTTCGAGCTAAATAAATTCAAAAATTTCCCCAACCTTGGTTTCAATTTCATTTCCTGGTGATATTTTCGAAAGTTGCATTAAAGGTTGCCAAAAAATATAAAAATAATTCTTTCGGAAATTATCAGAACCATTTCATTCTTAGAGCATTTCTTAGTCGCCAAAGTCTATTGCAAAAAGCTTTTTAATTGGAAATTTCTCAATATGGTAATTTCCACCAAAAATGTGAGATCTCTTCGGGTGTATGGGTGTGCATGGGCGGCAGCAGTACACTGCCATTCCGGATGTGTACAAACCAAACGCAGACACACAACCGAAAGCCGAAAGACGTATACACACATGGCGGCGGTGATCGTTTGCTGTAAAGATTTCAACATAAGCGAATGTATTGATGGCACACCAGCCGAGAGGGGGGTAAAAAGGGGGTGGCAGGGGAGCGGTCGAGTCGAACGTCTCTCGAAACTTGAAAGCCGTGCCCATTGCCCACTCTCGTATCTTGCTGCAGCAGCAAACGGAAGTGCACATTCCAAACAGAAAACCCGTTTCCAAAGGCAGCACCCGGGGACCAGGGAGTGGGAGAGTGGGATGGGAGCAGCCCGTGTTGGAGAAAGACGCTGCTACGATGGGGCAACTAATAAATCCGCCAGTGGGTAAAGAGAGCAGCAAGTCTCAGTCGGTGGATCGAGATGTCGGTGGAGATTCGGGGAGCTTGGGAAGAAGGCAAAGGAGTAGCATCACCCAAAAGAATGACACCCTGTTCACAGCAAAAGTAAGCTATCAAGTGGTAAGGAAATATCCAATACCAGTGCTGAAGAATATTCCACTAACAGAATTTGGGAATAGGATTTAAAATCTTACAAATTCAGTTAACTTTTTTTTTTTTAAACTAGTTACACCAAAAGAAATCGTAAAGAAATATATTGTATTGAAAAAAAAATGTTACATTTTAACTGAGGACAATCCCCACAATACTACTTCCTTGTCCTGTGCTGTATTATCCCACATATATAGCCGGACCAGACGTTTTCCCTGCACACATGTTCAGATTTATCTCGCATCTCTCCCCAACTCACTCGACTGTCTTGCTCTCCCGAAAGAAACTTCCTCATTCTCCGGGAAGCGCTTTCAACAAGTGAGCGCTGGCGAGAGAACATAAAATATTTGTGATGGCGAGATGGGGAAAAAAGTGGGTGGGGGGATGACGATGATGGGGATGATAATAATCGTCTTGAATATTTTATTGTGCATGTACATGGCTTAGAGGGGGTCTGTCTATCCGATCCACAACCGATCCGATCTATTTGTTTTCGAAGAGAGCTAGAGGTAAATGCTGATGCCCCGCTGCTGATTGTGCACACTCCACATACAGCCAGACAGACACACAAACTCATACAAAACGATCCTACGTGTTATTTCGGTTGCCACAACACATGGTTGAGTTTTCACTAAAATAAAATCATATATTCTAGTGCACACATGTTCCGCAGCACCAGCAACAGCAACACAAAATAAATAAACATTCGGCTAAAAGTTGGAGTCGGTGGCACGTAGTAAAATGACAAATGAATGCTCATCAGCATAGTACAAAATAACAACAATAAGGAAGGGGCAGGCCAGCAGCCAAGGAAGAAGCAGATTTGGGGAAGCACACTGAGAAAAAAGATTACGAAATATTAATTGGCTCCCTATGGGGATCATGCATTAGAACTAAACTGAAGTGATAAATATTTGGCGCCCAACGTGGGGCCAGAAGCAGAAACGCTCGATAAAGATGTTTTCCAAATTAAAACTATTACACATTTCGTTCAGTGCATCAACTTGGAGCAGAGGGAAAGGCAGAGTCGTCTCACGCACGCAATAAGAGTATAAAGAATATTTCTAAATCTCGGCGCAGGAGGCGCGGCAGAGAAGAATCCGAAAGAGCAGCATTCTCTGCCTCTCTTTCTGACACAACTCGAAATCAACTCAGGCACACAGGTAGTTCAAAATCGGAGGTATGCGAACGATCTCGAACCGGTTTCAACGGAAATTACAAACGAAAATTATAAAACGATCAGTTTAGAAAAGAAAAAAAAAAGAAATAAATGCCAGGGGGAGTGGAAGGAAAGCTGGAAAACCAAAAACAAGCAAATGGGTTAAAAGAATTTCATGGGCTCTTTTCTACGACTATTTGCAATGTTTCCGTTTTTGGCGAAGAAAAAGAGTGAGAGGAGGGGCGTCTTTCGTGTGTGGGATCGTGGGATCGGAAATGCTAGAAAATGGGACATGAAAGATCTAAAAGGCGGATAAGGAAGTCGGGGAGGTAAGTGTTCCTATAAAAGAGAATAGAAAGGATTATGTGGGACAGCAATCAGATAAGATTAAGTTAAACGTTCATGCCAGCTTGGATTTTAGCACTATTATCCCTATCTACTTTATGAAATCTCTGTAAAGGCATCCGAGAGTAAAACAATTTTATTTAAAACAAGTCACTTACTAGAAATAGATTACATTTCTTAGATATTCTTAACGAGGCAGCCTTGTTATAATATTAAGTGAAGTTTGGCTTCCAGCTCAGATTTCACTTATAATCCCATTGTTTAATACTTCCCTATCTCTTAGCCCCCTAAGATGACACTCGAATGGCATTTTTGATCGGCACTCCTAGACGCAGCTGGAATTCCAGCTTGCAAGTGAATCACCCGAGTGCCGGGGCCAGGAGTTGTACGTTAATGAGTAATTTCCGCAGGCGCATCCTCTGCTCGTCGGAACCCCCGCCACGCCTCCCCGCCCCTCGTCCAGCACATACTATGTGCATCAAGTGCTGCGCAGTAAGAACGATGGGAAAATAAGAAAATCTGATAGCCAGAAAAGACGGGAAAAAGGAACCCGAAGAGAGACAGAAGCGACAGCAGCCATGGCGCATTAAGATTAACGGCTCAACGCTCGATCGAAGGGAAGGTGCAAGAAAGAGAGAGTGCGAGGGATGCTGTCTCCCTTTCTACACTGAGAATGTTTTCAAAATTCACATAAAATATTTTTCAAAATTATCAAGGTAGAATTGAAAAATATACTTGTAATTAAACATTATTTTTAGAGATTTACTCTTCATGTATAGTTTAACAAGAGAAATCAAACATTTTCAAAAAGCAATCCTTTTGAAAAACTATATTATCTATTTCCAGGACCTGTTCTTGATCCTACACTGACTTTTCCCTCAGTGTGATGATCAGGTAGAGGAGGAGCAATGAGGAAATGCGTCCGTCCTTCCCCTACTACCTGATCTGCACTTTGCTTTACATCTTGTAGGACTTCTTGGAAACCCGGCTACGGATCTGTTCGAGACCCATCAAAGAATGGAATGAAGTAACTGAAAGGAAGAATGACGAGGCATGTGGTGCTTATGCCTATAGTGGTGCTGTTGCTGTCGTTGACATTTGATCTCTTTTATGAGGTCTTCCTTGAGCGAACTCAAGTGCAGCATCGGTTTTTGTTTATCTCATCGTTTCTGTTGTGCTGGTGTTTTTGGTTTGGCCCTAAATCAACCCCTAAAGCCAAGGGATTTGACCCTAGTCCACAAATTGTCTGTAATTCAATGAGTTTACTTGGGGGTCTCAGTTCGTTTCATATCGATAGTGGTTGATAGAAGATGTTCCTTTGACGGCCAAATGTAAAGAAACCTGAGTATATTCACTCAGCCAATAAAAGGTCTTACCATTCAGATCAATTTCTTTCAGAATTTTAATGAATCATAAACTATCTAGGGTTTATATTTCGTAATATAAGAAAAGATCAACAGTCAAGTTTCAAGGCAAGATAGAAGCCAATTTATTCTTCATTTTAGAAATTTCAATGAATCCTTAAAGATTTCAGTTTTAAAATTGTTAAGAAGGAATTTTTTTTTACCAAAGAGAGAAATATAAACATAAACCAACTATTACCGATTTTTCCAGACATTTGACAATCGATAACCTATGAGTAATAATGGTATAGGTTCTCTTAGGGTTCGAGTTCAAGTTGCTCCTATGGATGTGTTTACTTTTTGCACGTGTATTTTAGCTTTCAGATATTGCCTTATGTGTGTATGTCTGCTCGCTCATATCAAATACTCAATTAATAAGCATAAAAAAAGATATTCAAAATTCGAAATAGCTAAGTCAACGACCTGCTTTGCTTTTATAACTGCTCAGCGGGCAACACTCGTCGTCGTATATTTAAGAAGCAGCAACAACGCTCGTAACTCTTGATTTACCTTAGCCCCCGAAACGCCCCGTAATACCCCTTTTTTCCGACACTTATAGACGCTGCTGAGCGTGCATAACAAGCGCGTGAGCGTATCGTGTTTGCTATTTGTGTTTGCTTTCGCTTAGCAGTATTGGTATTTTGGTACCCCTCACCTATACGATGGAAAAAAGTAAAAAAAAAAAAAAATAAATAAATAAATAAAAATGCCAATTCCGGGTTCTTCTTCGCAGCAAAAAGTCGAATCAAATATATAGAAAAAGTATGCGAAGAAGTGGGGAAATAAAACCAAATGTCTGCGGTTCATTTTCTGTCTAGATCGTCAGTTTATGTGCTCAGCTCAAACGCCGTAGGCAGTTTCCTTTTGTTTTATTATTATTTATTTGGGATTTTTTGGGAGCAGACTCTCAAAAAACAAGGGAAGCTCAAAGCTCAAGCTCAGGCAAATCAATCATCGTTACGCACTTTTGAAGAAGCTTAAGACCCCAATCTTAAATCGGTCCCAGACCTAAAGCCTTGCGGTAGCTGTAAATTAAAAAAAAAGAAGAAAGGAGAGCCACAGGCCATTCCCTTCCATCTACCTAACACTTTGTCTGGTCATTAAAATACAGTGATCTCCAGAAAGTAAGAACTTCTAACACAGTTGTGCATTCCTAACTAGGGCAGTTCTAACTTAAGTTCTTAAGGTCTGGTAAATTTTAGTTCCCTATACTGGTCATCATAAAAAAAGCAATCAGATATGTAAAAAAAAAAGTATAAAAAACTCTAGTGTTTCGTATTATTTATTCTTTAAAATCCAAAAATTTTCCATACTGAAGTTTTCTCTTTGATAGGGCGACAAGATCTGGCCAACATTAAAATCTTCTTCCTCTTCTCCAGCTTTAGCTCCGAGCTCTTTTGTTTTGCTCGATCGGGAAAAAAGAGAGGTGTAGAAGAAATAAGAACGAGATGGGGAGATCTACAGCTGCTGGAGGCGTTACGTGACGTGTTTGTTCTAATGTAGCTCAAACCTCGGCTTCAAGTCGATCCTTTTTTGTTTTTGTTATTTTCCACCTCTTTTTTGTGGAACTCTTTCTGCTGCCTCATTGTTCATCTTTATATGCTCGTCGGGTCTCGAAAGGGGAAGCGAGATGGACTGCTTAATGATATCAAACGTTCGATAACCTTTTCGGTATTTTTTGTTTTTTTTTTATTTTATAAATATGCAAACTCGAACTCAAACCACAACACAAAAACCACACATCTCTTCTATGCTGATCATTCTCATGACTAGAGAGATATCCGACTTCATAATGAGCTTTGGAACAATCGGAAAACAAAGGGGGCAAAAGCACAGCATCATCACTATGATCATTATCATAATGCTTATGATCGAATCGGTAGCTAACTACCAAGAAATAAAAAGAACCACAAGGCGAGAGAGGGAGAAAGATGACAGAGATCTCCAGTCAGATATTTCATTTCCATACGATGGATGAGTTCATCAAACGCCCAGACAAGAGTTCAAAATCATTCTAGTTTTTGCTCAAGGGAGGGGATGATGGTAGGGGGTTATACATACACTGAGGGAATAGAAAAATTAATGATAGTTTAATAAAAAAGAAATTAGGGAAATCTGAAACGACTAAAATAACGCAAACTGCGAATTCTTTAGATTTCTAGCCCATAATAACATTAGATAACCGCGAATTCTTCAGACCCTCTAAATTCTATTTTTCCAAGTGTATTGATGTGTTTGCTGGTGAGGAGCTGGATGCTCATAGACCTAGACCGCATCAACCGCATCATTTGTGCCCATTACATTCAATTAGTCGCATCTGTGTTTTTGTTTCAACTCTTTGCGATTTTCTCGCACTTGCATCAATCTTCTTTGCCCCTCCTCCACTATGCTTGGCCTGCCCACCATCCTAACTTAATAAGGCAGTCATCAGCATCATCATCATCATTGTTGTACTGCTGCCTGCAGCAAGAATTTAATGTTTGCCCCTTATATCGAAAGGGGTTGTCAAGCTGGCGGGGATTCCAAAGGAAAAAGGGGGAGGCACTAGCGAATAGTGGACATGTCATGTGCGTCTCTTTTTTGCTTGGGGTCGGGGTCAGTACGGGTTCAATTGAGTTGGATGACATGAGTTGCTTCCGTGTTTGAAGACCACAAAATACTCTTAAGTAGAGTTTAGATTGAGCAAAGTGGGGAAAAAAGCAAGGGGAGGTAGGAAAATTGAGAGTGACTTGTACGCGGACAGATAGAATATGCTTCCGATTAGTAATAATATGATATAAGGAATGATCCTAACTTTAGAAGGATAAAAAAAAACTGTAAGAATCTTATATCTTCGATGTGTAGTAATTTCCCTCAAATAGAATGACTTTCAATACTCTAATCCCTGATCTTAAGTAGACTCATTCACTGATCCCCTTGCTAAATACCATTTAATTTCATAAGTAAACATTTCCGAAGATCAACACTGAACCACCCACAAGCCACCCATTAACACAATCTTCTGCCGCCTACACACCAACTGAAGAAATCTAAAGGAACCTTGTCCATCAAGCTGATAAGATCCCCAAGTCGCAGTCCCATTTCTATTTCCAGTTCCAGATCCCGTCCTCGGCACACACCTGCTGCAGAGGCCTTTGGCGCTTCACATGGCGATATATATCTGTAAACTAGGATTACTTGTTGTCTTAGGTGTCGCTGCTCTGATAAAGACCAACAGAAATAGACAGAGCACATAAAAGATACAACATGTTCCGCTATCCGTCGTCGCACACTTCCACCATAATGTTTATATGTATTATGAAATGTTTACGATTTGCTTGAGTTTCAGTAAGTTCATAACAAATATGCCCCCTCCGCAGATAAGATAACGCATAGATACATAGAGCAATCTGACTAGACTTCGACTTCAGTCTTTCAAACAACTACCCCTTCACTTATTTCTTGTTGCACGAGTCTTCCCAGCGAAGAAAGACTTTTAGCGACTTCCTGCTCCGGTGGTTTGACTATTGATCGGCCTGATCTTCCAGCTTCCTGTGGGCAATTAGATCGGAGTCCGGCGAAAAAGCAACCTAACTACAGCGATTCAGCTAGCTAAGCCACTTACACTGAGGGAAAAATATGTTTTGAATAAATTATAAAAAAAATCCAACAAAAATATAATCAAACTCTACCTTAAGAATGGTAGATATAATCATAGAATCCCTAGGGTAAAAACTACATATTTTATCAAAATATATAATGATGTCCCCATTTCTTTTCCATTCTCAAGATCAAATTCTTGATCTTAAGTACCATTTTTTCATTGTGCAATAAATGATCGTTTGCTGACTCGATCGTCGGGCTATTTCTTTTTGTGCACACAATCTGGTCGGGCATCTAAACCGGTAGTTAGTATTTGCACTAGTAATCAAGCACATACATAGCTAACATCTAGGCATGCATGGCGGAGCCGCTTCCTCCTCCTCTTCACCGCATTCGGAGCCAAAGAACTTTGACGATCGCGCTTCGCATCTTAATTACAGAGGAGAACGGGCAGAACTCGGCAAAAATAGCAAAGAAAAAACAAAGCCGAGAGCTCTAGCCCGCCAAACCTGAATTGTAAAAACGTTCTAAACGAACTGAACTCAACCCAACCGAGCCGAACTGAACTTAACTTTTAAGCGACGTCGTGGAAAGACACTTAATAAATGCGGAAGCGGATGTTCAAGCTACAGAAAACAGAAACCGAGAGACGCTGACGCTTGTCTATAATCACAATCAGGTTCCACAAGACGCAGGGAACAGGGAAATGCAAAAAAAAAATAAAGAGGAAAAAACCGATCGTATAAAGAATAAGTGCGCGTAAGTTAATACCATACGTCTACAGGTTGTAAACATCTACAAAGGCAAGGAAATGCCAAGTCCGTTGAGGAGCAGCAGGAAGAATTGTTTATCAATTGCATGAGAAGTCTTCATCATCATCACTACCATTGGCCACTTCCTCCGACAATTCGATTGTGGGAATCACAAGTACATAATCGCTGTTGATATGTAATTCATGAGCTAATGCTTTATAGCGTGTTCAGTTCAGGAAATTGGCCATATCTTTAAATGATGGGGTGGTTTGAGAAAAAGGGCGACACACGAATTATTGATTAAGGGGAGAGCATTACAAACATCGAAACGGAACCGGACTTGAGATAGAACGATAAAACAAATATATCATCTAGAACAGCTTTCAATTGAACAGTGTCAGTGAATTGTTACAGAGAGATTAAATAATATCATCATTTAAGAATTTTTCGAGCTACTTTAAAGATTGGTAACTAAGTATAATTAATAACCATAAATACTTTACAAATGAATTCTTGAATTTAACAGATTAAAAGTAATTTATTAGCTGGAAATACCAGACTCAGCGGAAACGTTGTAAAGCTGTTCCACCTTCCGACCCTATTGATTTTTAATCATCAAGGAAACGTGTAGTATCAATCAATCAATTGCATTCAAAGTACTTAGAATGAGGCGGGGCTAAAAGCAGTTCCTCAAGTGTTACAACCAATTTGATTTCGGTTTCCAGGCGGAATTTCCCGACTGCATTTCGATAGTTTGGGTTATTACTTTTGTTATATTAGGAGAGCTGATTAGCAGGCAGAGCGCACATTTTGAAAAGGCTTCTCCAGAGATTGTTTTTTACACAAGCTCACAATAGCGATGATAAATATATAAACGCATATATATGAGGTATATATATGCAGGGGGACGAGAAGCAAAAGCTTGATAAGCACGGACAATGGCATCAGAGTGAGTGTGGGCACAATAATAATAAACAATTGCTGGCGATGCCGCAAGTTGCTCTTAAGTAGCCACTAAAACGTGGCAAACCGACCTAATGAGATAAAAAATACCAACAACACACACTCAGCACACGAGACAACAAGAGGAATACCCAGAATCCGGCAATCCAAGAACTAACAATTGTAATAGACAGACCCCTCTCTAAGATCTGGGAATCTCTTGAGGTTGCTGCGCATTGCCGGCGGCTAAGAACTCATTTAAGCTGCTGCTAATTATGAATTTGGCGACAATAGAGGAGGAGAGTGCCCCCAGAGCCCCCATCTGCGGCTCGGTTCAGGAATCTGAATCTCCGTTTCTGTTTCCAGCTCCTTCAACATCACTGCGCTACGTGCTGTTCGTGTCAATTTTGTTGTTTGTTTTAATTCGTGTTTGCCTTACTTGGAAAATTATAATATAATCTCCTGCTTGACTCGGACCCCATCCCATTCCAATCCCCTCATTTGTGGGTTCATCTCATCTGGCCCGAGGGTATTTTCGAGGCTGTCGTTTCATTTGACACTTGGTCCGCAGACAGGGCGGCGTTCGCTTGAAAATTTCTCAACTGTAATTCCAGTATTAATAAAACAATTTCGACTTAGGTGCCCTGCTGGGGATGAGGAGTAGGAAGAGGATTCCTTGCCACTTGAGCAGAGACAACTGACTTCCTTGAGTAGGAAAAAGAGAACTGCCAAGTGCTCTTTGATGTGCGATGAAATTTTAGAGGAACTCTATCCCGACTAATACGAATGCTCCAGGCTGAACAAATATTTGTTTAGATCTTTGAAATGACTATGTAAATAACTCCACGGCCGAAAATATTCAGATATTTACGTAGTATTGTTCATATGCTATTTATAATGATAGTAAATATCTTTTTTTTAAATTGTTCTTAAAAATAACCAAAAAAAACTGTACAAACTTACAAATATTTTTCAAGAAAACTTAACCGAGATCCAGACCCATAAGATTTAAGTAATGTTTAGTTACCTGAAAATAAAAGACAAAAATGTTATTATTTAAAAAGCTATTAGAAATAATATGATATAAATTGCAATTAAAATAGTCTTTCGAAACCCCAACGGGTTGACTATTTGAAACAACCCCATTTTACCCCTTTCGACCTTGGGAACCCTATTTATAATTTGCGGTTCCACCATTGCGTGAACGCATTTTGAAGTGCTGCCCTGACCAAAGGAGCCATAAAATAATCTCCAAACTCGTATCTCCACGTATCAAGGTGTAAATAATTGAACAGCCCAATATTCTCGGCCCAACAACAATCGCAATCATTATAATAACACTTGTGAATACCAAGCGATATGATTAAACAAAAGAAAAAGCCACAAAAAAAAAATCCAACCAAAAATAAAACCGAAATACTTTTGTTTTGGTTGCTTCTTTTCTTTCCACACATTTTACGATTGTACGTGTGCCCAAAAAGGAACTATATTTGTATGTTTGTGCATTGTATAACTAGAAGTGTAATAAAAATAAATAAATAATTGTGAAAAAACAAAGAGGTAATGGTAAATTTGACAGGGATAGCCGACTGATTACTGTATCAATTAAGACCCGAAAAAAAAACCACACACAACCTCCACTCGAACACAAAGCAAAAGCGTAAATTCTTGTACTGGCGTCATTTCCGGTTCCCCAAAATCGCCCCACCACCCCCCACAGTCCATACACTCTATCGTAAACACATTTTGGCACCTCTTCACACCGCCCCATAGATTCCTTCCCTTCCCAACCTACTGCCACCCCTTTGCCACCCACATGACTTTGGTTCCAGCACCCTTATCAGTCAGCGCCAAACCAAACGACTGATTATAGTCAAGCACACACTTGTTTGTACATATACCACCAATGCACGTAGGATTTACCAACTTCTGGGTTCCGAAAAAGGAATTTCGGGGCTTGTTATCTATGCTATCGGCTTTCCAATCTAATTGATTTATGAAAGATTTGCCAAAAAGCGATTTAAGAAAGAGTGCTGAAAAAGGGAAATAACTATAAACGTACGTAAATACTGTTCTTCTAAGTAATAAACATTTCTGTACGTAACTATTGGTAATCAATAGAAAATGTTCCAAAATGGTAGAAATCTTTCGCAAATTAGAAACACCCTTAAAAACAATCTACTATTGTGCACTTCTGGTACATAATTCATTGCAAGTGTGGCACAATAAATGGCAAAATTTCCTCATCGCTGCCCGCTGAGGAAAATTGGAGGATGTCGACGAGGAACCTCAGCTGCTGCATTGTTCTCAGTGGAGAGCCTGCTGTTTTCGAAACGCCCCTGGCTTCACTCCTCTTCCTTCTTCCGCCTTTTGAATGCAATTTCCTTGAAGTGCCAAATGCCAAAACTTCATTGTGCGTTTTGTTTCCTTGGGTCAAGTCGAGGGGTCGATTTAGGTCGGGATCATATCGAGAGCTGGTTGCCAGGGGTCGTGAGAGGCTGAGAGGGTCGAGCACAGTTAGGGTCTCAAGAGTGACAATTATTGCCAGGGGACCACCTACAAAGTTGCGAACCTGTTCCGTTTTCAACTCAGTTCATTGTTCGAGGTTCAACAGGTAGGTCAAAGGTGAGGGTTGCCGGGGTGCGGGTTCGATTTCCTACAGGTAGTGATTTCTATTCTGTGTTTTACCATTCTCTTTACCACTCCGAATAGTTACAGGGAAGAAAAAATGACCATTCATATTTTTAATTTAGGGTTTCTTATTCCAGATCATCCAGATAATCACAAAACCACAAATATTGGAATTCCTCATTTCGAAATAAGGCCTTTGAAGGTAAGGTATTTATTATAAATGAGGGATAAAATGTTTTATAATATGTACATATAGTTAAATTCTTCTTTTGAAATGGTTCCTTTTCAAGAAGTTTATTATAAGTAATTGTTGAGAACTTATTTCTCACTTTTAACCAATTTTTCTCAGTGCTTTTGTAAGTTCTTCCATATTTCATTTATCAGTTCCGAACAGTTAGTGGTACCTTTTGTATTAGATAAAGACATAAATGAACAATCGTGGGTAACTGTGACGTATTAAGGGTCGCTTCAAGTATCTCTTGTTACCAGGCAATACAGCTTGGGTGTGTAACTCTCGAGCCCCCCGTACCGTCGACTCTTTTTCTTCCAGCTCGAATACTTTTTCCTTGTTTCTCCGTCTCTGGTTTTATCTCTTGCGATAGACAAGCGTTACGGATACTTCCTTTTTGGCGTTACGCCATCAGTGTTAGCTAGGTGCACCCAAAACAGTTACGTTATCCACCACGCAATGCCCCCCTTGGGGTTGGGGGTTTAACCGTCCCCCCCTCTACTCCTCCCTTGGGAGTTCAATAAGAAGAAAGAAGGAAAATTACCTAATTGTGTTGCATCGACAGACGACGACTTAAAAGCGACTTTCCACAACATTACTCCACTTCTTGCTTGATGTACTTTTGCCCCCCTTTTACCACCCCCACTCTACCACCCCCTGTACCCCCTAGTTTTATGCCCCCCTTTCTCCTGTTCCGTATGTGTGCCAAAAGGAAAATGTGCCACACAAACTGCACCAAAGTGCGGCGAATATTTTTGTGCTGTTTGTGTTTGCTTTTTCTGTTTGTTGCTTCGCTTCGTTCGCTTCTTTCTCCCTCTCTTTCTCCCCCTCTCCCTCTCCCACCACTCTTTGTAGTTAGATAATAGCAAGTCACCGTTAAAGCACCAAAGTCGAGTTGAGCGGAGTATTATAACTCAAGCAAGACTTCCTATATTTTGAAACACGTTACGTTCGTAACATAATTCACACAACAGGTTACTCAGACAGCGAAAGAGACGGGTATAGGCCGTTGCGATAGAGATAGCAACAGCCGAAGCCAGCCAGCTCAGGCTACAACAACAACAAATCGCACTAGTGGAGTAATACGAGTATTAGTGTACTATGTTTTAGTGGGCTTTCGGTGCGGGCAGAAATTGGGAAACATGGGGAAATGATGATCGTGAGAAAAGATTGCGGGAAATTGTCAGAAGTGCAAGATGAATGGGTCGCCAGTTGGGTGGAGATCGTTAGATAGATGCAAGTGCAGAACTAAGTAGATTGCATCATGGAGTTACGGAAATAAATTTTGAATGCAGGAGAATGCGGTTTATTTCCCAATAAGATTTTGAAGTAATAGTATATTCATTTTAATATTTGTTTTACGGTTATAACATTTATTTTCATTATAAAATTGTAATACAAGCTTGTTTCTATTCATATTTCTCTTTTTTTTTTAAATATTTAAGCGTATTAAATAGAATTAATGGTTTTTTAAAAAATTAATTCTTGAATTCTCCCCAATGAAAAACGTATTTTAAATGATCTAGCAATTACGGGTTAGCTCTCTATCTTTTAACCACATAATATAAATTGCATTACTCGGAAATGTGAATCGGGAATAACATTGTGAATCATTTCCTGAAAGCTGGATTTGTTCCGAGCGTGATCTCATTGGCATTAAGACAATGTCAAAGTTTCCTGTGAGCAAGCCCTATAGATATTCCCACTGTGTACTGACTACACATCCTTAATGGCCCACTCCTAAAAAACCCAAAAACTTACCCACGTTGTTGCCAGGTGAAAGAGAGCGAGAGAGACGGAGAGAAGAAGATGGAGATTGGGGAAGGGGAAGGTGGGGTGTATATTTTACCGCTTTTAATGGCAAATTCGCACGATCGTTGATTGGAGTGTTGTTGTTGCTGCTTTTCTCGCCTGCCTTTTGCACTACTTTCTTTATTTCTTTTAGCGAATTTGAGACACGACGTAATGGAAGCTGGCAGCATTTATGGCAAATTCAGGTTAGTGTGATTTCGTTGCACTATAAAATGGGTTACAATGGGATGTATAGTACGCACAAGTGGTTCGTTCGCTGCTTTATAAATGCAAATGTACAAAAACAGCGGCCAACAACAATAGCAACATCTGCTGGGCGATAACAACAATATATGTTTGTCTGTTTGTATATGTTTTAATGCATCTCTGTGTGTACATATGTATGTAAATGTGTGGCATTTGTATTGAATGCAAGCTTCCGCATGCAAGTTGCTGCAAGCAACAACAAATGCAAGGCGAAATAGAAGAAAAGGAAGCGAAATGGCAAGAAGAAGCATTGGCCCCAACAACACAGCAAAGAGGAAGGAAAGGCAAGAAGAAGACCACAACAGAATGCATTGATTTATCAGTGTGCGAGTTCTTTAAGACCTTAACCCTTATGTGACACTAATTTGATAAATGGGGTGTTTTTGCGGCTTACCACAAATGACTTTAAAAAAATATGAAAAACAATTGTGGTAAACCTAAAATTATACTAAATATTTCTGGGTTATAATACACAATTCGTTCCACTTTAATCACAAATTATACATCAAATACTTGACCCTTCTTAAGAACTTGTCATGTCTTTTTTTCCAACTTGTATTTAATAGTTTTTTTTTAACGAAACTTGGAAAAAAGAGAGCGACACGCACACATTCACATGCATTTTTTGCTTGTTCGGCATTTTGTGTTAATATCTCAGCCGCTTTAAGGCGTTTTTTATTGTTGTTTTTGCTGCTGCTTGGCGTTTTCTTCCTCTTTCCTTCATTATTTTGCCGCTGCTTATACTTGTTGTATTTGTCTTTGTTGTTTTTTCTTGGCTGTGATTCGCACGTGTGAGTGTGAGTGAGTCAGTTGCTGGCCGAGTGTGTGTGTATGTGTGAGTGCGAGGGAATAGGTCGATGTTTTCTTGCTCCATCTCCCGCTCTTCCCCACCCCACGATCAACAGTTTTTATACATACCTGTTTGCTTTGCTCCTCCACCTTCCTCTTTTTCTTGCGATCGTCGCCTGTCTCTTTCTCTGTCTCCGCTCCGCTCCCTCTCCCTCGCTCCCTCACCCCAAACACTTTTGACCCGCTCTCTCGCTTCCGTGCACTTGCTGTGCTCTTTCTCTTACGTCGTTTGTCTTTCGCCCCACACTCACACACACACACACATCCACCATTCCCCATTACGTTGTTTTTGCTTCTTTGCGCTTTTTTTGTTGTTGGAAGCAATGCGGAAGTGAATTTAATTTATTGTATTTACGCTGCTTTTGCCGCTTTTCTGCCGCCGGCTGGTCACCAGGCCAAGTCTCTCGGGGGTGGGCGAAAAGGGGGCGGAGAAAGAGAGAACCAGGAAAGGAAAACCGCCAAGCAAAATCGCAGCTTCTACAAGTTTTATTTCGTTTCCCGCTAATTGAAGAGAGAAACAGTTTATTTTTTTTGAAAAGCAAATTTTAATACATCCGTACTCACAGTCATAACCAGGTAAGTAGGTAACAAGCAGATAATACTTTTTAGATAAAAGAAAAAAATTAAATATTTTTAAACCTACTAAAAACAAATGTAAATTTTTGAAATTGGAATTGAGACTACAGTTTTCAAAAAAAAACATTTTTGAATGTTAATAATTAAATACCAAAAATTCATTACTTTAAAAATTTAAAAAGATTAAACTTTTTCCCACCACAAGAAAAACCTTTATACTTTCCCACTATCCTAGAACTATTTTCCTCACCTCTATTGTGCGTGTTTGTTTTGCACATAATGAAATTTATTGGCGTAAATTCTGTTCTCATCTAGAAAAAATATAAAATAACGGAGGTGGCGCACGATCAGGTGTGTGTCTAGTTCGCACCCCCCGCCAAAACCCCCTGAAAACCCACCATATATACATACATACGTATACCTTATAGCTGCGGCAGAAGCAGGAACTGTTTGGCTGATTTGTTCGACGTCGTCGGTCGGCAAAGGCAAATAAATAAACACAATTCTGCTGGCTGTTTTACTTTTTTTTATATACCTATATGTATGTATGTATTTTATGAGTGTGGATATTTCTTTTCACCAAAGCGCCAATGCGATAAGATTTCGCTGACGCTTGCCCAGCAGAGTCGTCAAAGTCGGAGTCACCCTAATTGGAGCTCAACGCTCCGCTTTTGTTTCACTTCACTTCCATAGAAAAGTGCATGCAACAAGAGACTCGTGAACCGAAAAGAATCACTCCCAACTGCAACTGCCCGGTTCTATAACATATAGCATATAGCATACCGATATGCAGTCCAAGACATGCACTGGGCTCTCGATAATTACCGTTTTCTTTATTTTCGAGGCGGAAACTTGGGACTAGGCGATATGATGCAACAGGCATTACGAAAAGCACCCCAGGTACCGTAATATGGAGTGGAATGTGAGTAGGAAAAGCTATTTTCCAAGTGAATCGATCTTGTTCGTATCGTAGAATGCTAAGAAAGCAGTGGAGCGTGGAATGCATACAATAGCTTGGGAAGAGAAATTACTATCATATCATATTATTACTTTACTATGCTATCTACATATGGTTCTAAACCACATGATTTCTAAGAACAAGTTCCAGTCATTAGTCACAAATGTACTTATAAGGTTAATAATATCTGGACAATCTTTAAAATTCAATTTTGTAGTACAAAAACCCATCTGATAACTAAAATATTAATTAAAACTATGAAACCACTCCCAAGACATCCATAAAATTGTAACTCCTAATATTTAAACAAGCCCCAATGAAAATGCCACAATCAGATCCTCTGAAATAACATGCAAATAAATCAAATAAAACCTTAGATAAACCGTTGTTGCCTAGAGTCTCGTATATAGTACGCTCCAAATATAGCCCCAAGTTATCTGTTTACACGTGTAGATTTAACAAATTGTTGACCTCAACCAGAGACCAAAAACTCAAACATTGTAAGACGTTGGGTGGAGCGAAGTGGGGAAGTCATATTTAGCAGATAACCAACTGCAGATTAAGGTGGAGCAATTATTTATCAGCTGCTCAGACAAGACAGTTTTCTGTTTTCATGACCATTGTGACGTAGCTATGGGAAATACATGTACCAAAAGATGGTGTTTTAACAATTTCGTAATAAAGCAAAGATTACAATGGACTGATACAAGGAAAATGTCTGTTGACTCTGAATCAAGACAAACCTTTAATGGCTCGGACCTTGTCAAGTTTAAAATCTAAAAAAATACCATATTTACGCTTTTTACAAGTGTATTGTCCATAATATATTTTATTTTTAATACAAAATTATTAAACCAATTAAAACTTTTTATGCTTTGAGAACTCCTAATGTTATAAATGTTGTCATTCGAATAATATCACTCTATAATCGAATGACAGAATTGAAAGCTAAATATAGTTGGGGAATTTCTTTTTTAATTGAAATGTAGTAACAAATATTTTGTTTTTATTTAATCTTTTATAAGTATAATTTATATAGCTTTAATAGAAATTTCTTATGAAGGATTAAGTGCATATTGTACTTCAATTATTCCGATTTTGGGTAAGATAAAAGTTATTCTAAACCAGTCTTACATTATTTTAATAATTTCTACCCATATCCCAGTTAGATGGTATAAAATTTTCCCTTTCCTTACCTGTTTGCTCCACTGTGCACGGTGGTGACGAACTGTGAGGTGAGCGAGTGATTTTGTCTGTTTGCGTTGGGCTTCGGATTCGATTCTTGAGCTGTTTTTGCGACAGAAGCAACGCGGAAGCGGATATGTCCAGATCCCAGAATGCTTTAGCTTTTTGCTTCGCTCTGTTTTTTGTTGTTGTATTTGTTTTTGTTAATACGATGTTTTTCTTGTTGTTATCTGCCGATGACGAAGAGGGCGTCGCGCCAAGTTGCCATTGTTGTTTGTGTTTCCTTCTCGTGGGGGGTAATCAGTGGGCGGTGGTTGTGTGCTTTTGGGGCTAATCCTGGCTCTCTGTTTTTGTTTTTATTTTCGCTTCGTTCTGCGACGAATGCCAGCCGCAAAGCGGAGCAAATAAAGAAGGCGAAGAGCAGAAGAACAAGTCAAACGTTTCTACTTCCGCCGCCTCACCAACACACACGCACACGCTCAAGCTAAAACACACAAACGCACACGCACACTGTAAGACACTCACGCGATGCACTTGCACTCTGGCGTTTTGTTCGTGTATTTGTTGTTGTTGTTGCTGCCGCTGCTGCTGTACTTTAGCATTTCCTCTTTCGTCTTCCTTTTCACTTTTGCTTACACTTCTTGTTGCGTTGTTGTTGTTGTCGCTCTTGTTTATTTCTTATTTCCGTTTCGCGCACACCCACACACTCTCGCACTTGGGCAAAGTAAAGTAAACACACGGCGAGTTAAGTTGGCTGCGAGAAGAACCGTTATTCCTCAACGAAGCGCGCACACGAGTTAAATTCTATTAATTGTGAATTAATCAATTTAAAACATATTAATTTGGCATTTACAGCTACAGCAGAATGTCTAGTTGCTTTCTGGAGCACGACTGAGCACGTCCGTCTCCCACGACAGTTTCTGGCGATTTGGAAGGCGGTTTTGCTGGCGTTTTGATTTCGGTTCGAATAGGCGGCTAACAAAGCAGCGGCGTCGCTGCCAGCGCACTATGGGCTAGATGACCACTTTTCGTGGCCAAAAATTCATTTTTCAATAACGTGTTTAATGACATCGTAAAAGTATAGATTCAACTAATTATTTGTGAATTTTAAGTGTTAATATGTATCGCAGTTTCTTTGCAATTGAGTGTTTTTTGTAACGATTTAATCTTTAAGAAAAGAAAATAAAAATTCATCTTTTAACACACGCCCATTTTTCCCAAAACAAATATATTTGTGTCTAATAAATTAAATTCAAAAAACAAAACATCTAAATGTTGCTTCTTTTTTAAGGTGTAAGTTTTGCCCACAAAAAGATGTCACCCAGCCTATAGTGCAGCGCATGCGCTGCTCAGAGAGAGAGAGAGAGAGAAAGAGAGAGCGGCAAAACGCAAAAGAGCGGCAAAGAGAAAGAGAAGAAAGCGTGTTTGCTCTTGTTTGCTTTTTGAGAACTGGCGCCTCGCGAAGAATACGAAATTAAGATAATTATTTAAGGAAGTCGCGCTTTGATCCGTTTTAGTGCCCAAGATTTATATCTTTAATCGGAGGCATATTTTTTAAGTACTGTAGAATTTCAAACTCGATTACTTACGGCTATACAGTGGTGGCCTCAAATTTAGTCTTTGCTTTTCAAAATGTCTAATTATTGTTTTGAAATGAGGGGCTTAGATATTTATTCCTTTTAAAAATAATTACATATTTAGTTTTATTTGAGATTTTTTTTTTAAATTGCCCTAATGCGCATTACTTTGATTGGGCGCAAGTTAGTATAGTCATGTTTTTTTTTCCTTTCAGACATTTTTTTTTTATTTGTGGAGATACTTACTTATTCAGATATGTAACTGAAATCATTGTTAAAATGTTCCATGCCTTACAATGTAAAAATTATTATAAGCACTTTCCAGCTCTAAATGTCTAGTAGCGTAACTTTCCTTTACTAAATAGGTACAGGTGTACCTGGTACACACTGACCACTAGTGCTGAACAACTTCATTGTACGGAATCATTCGAAATACTAAATAAAATTAGACAATAAGTTCTCATTAATAATTGAAAACTATAAATATAAAACAGAATGCTAAAAAAGTAATCATTATAGCGAAACACATTTTAAAATTTAGTTTTACCAATTCTTTCAGAATTCCTTGAACTAATTCCTAGTAAAGCCAAGGTTAGCGTGGCCTTTTTGTGCAATAACTTTCGGGAATCATTTCACAGCAATGGCAATTAATAATGCTTTTTATTTTCGTAACGTTTGAAATTCCAGAATTCCCACAATGGCGATAATAATCTCGATTATGTTATTATACTCTCGTGTGTATGCATATGCAAAGACTACAAACAAATCATTAGGTGCGTAAACATTACTAGATTTCTTTCCACTTCCTTGGCCACAAAAGAAACAAAAGCATTTGAGGTAATAATTTAAATAATTTAAAATCCACCTAGTTTTCTATGGAACAACTCAATAGGAAACCAATTTCTGTGGGCGGCGTCGAATTCGCGTGGGGCGCCCGATTTAGTTGTTAATCAATAGAAGATAAAGTTTAAACAAACGATTCATGCTGATACCAGAGCCATGGGCGGCGAAAAAGTTTGGGTTTACTTGTGTACAACTGAACATTTTTGTATTTTTGAAAACATTTTGAAGACTGCACGATTCAAGGATACAGACATAATGATATTGCAAAATGTAACTGTTTAAGTAGCTTGTCGATTATGGATTTTAGGAAATTGAGAACTTTGCCCATATAAGCATACATAGATAAGAAAATACCTGGAGCTGTAATCAGTGTGAGATAATGTCTTCAACATTTTTAAATAATTATGGATTTTCCCCCCGGATGAAAAAACGAGCGCCATGCGCCTGAAAAAAATAGACCTCTATTGTAATACAAAATGTTTCGAGGTGCTAGTTGATATGTGTTTTCGATCCCATAAATCTTGAATCTTCATGGAAACCAGTTGGCAATCTTTAATTATAAATTGTTGGAACATTTCCGCTCCGCTGCGACTGGAAATCTCTTTGGAAAAGGGGGCGGGGTTCGGGGTTTGGGGTTCGGGGTCTAAAGTGGATGGGTTCCTCGTCAGGTTGGTCGGTTGGCCGGTGGCTCTAAAGATGCGCTCAGTTGCACTGCATCCGCTTTGGGGTCTCGAGTCGCCTCAGTTGGTTAACCAGTTTCTCCCCGAGCAGCGTTAACGTTGACATTTCAAGTCAAATGCCCATAAACGGCGACCAGCCGGACGACCCCGCCCACGCCCTCCACGCCCCTCCCTCGCTTCCGTGGCCCTGCACTTCAAGAAAATCTCCTATCCCAAGGGTACTTTCATTTCTTTTTTTCTCAAGGGAACATTAGAGTTTTTAGTAGTTTAAAGCCATTAAAAGAAAAATAAAAAAATATTTATTTAGAAAAAGTAATTCTGAGACTTATGATAGTGAAAATAATAACAATTTTAAAACCTTCATCCCAAGGGTAAATTTTTTTAGCTTTACAGTTTTTAAAATTTTAGGCTATTATTAAAATAAAACAAAGATTATTTATTTAAAAGAAATAATTCTGAGATTTTTTAACTATTACGTAAATTTGGTATTATTTCGTAAATAATACTTAAAACTTTAAAACCTAATGGTTCTGTATTTTGTATGGCAACATGTAGAACAGAATTAGGCAATAAAATTCTCCATCAAGTAACTTGAGATATTCATTTTATAATTTTTACCTACCTACCTATTTTTACATAGAGATATTTTTTTCAAGTGCCATCTTTTCCATCAATAGCTACGATGGTGATGACGACGTTTCCAAGTGATCGCCACAACGACGATCACTGGCCCAAATTAGTAGCTTTGGTCATGGTGCGTCGCTCAGCGGGAAATACCAGGGTGAAAGGATGGGAAAGAGGGGAAAGTAGGGGGTAGATAAAGTGGGGGCGGAGGAGGAAGAACAAGAAGAGGAAGAGCCGCCGATGAGGATCGCACTGGGGTCAGAGTTCAAATAGTCGTCCAATTGAGCCAATCAGCATTTGTACGTCTGTATTTTGCCATTGCAATGCAACCAGTTTACTTCTGGTACTCGCGTCACCTCCCACTTTTTCCCTCTATATCTCTATCTTCCCCCCGATTTCTTCGGGTGATCGCTATAGTCACAGCTCTTAGTTCTTAGTTCTTAGTTCGATGCCTAAGTGCAGATAATTCATTAAAATAGAATGCCAATGTCCAGAGGCAGCCAAGTGGCATCCACTTGTGCTCTAGAATCAGACACCAAAACACAGATATGCCCGCATATAAATACAAAACATATATGCACATATAGAAGGAGAGAACCGCCAGACCAGACAGCCAGCGATTTGATATATGCCCTGCACTATATTGTATAGTCCCAGATCTATAAATAAGTCTGGTCGCAGCCCCGACAAAGTCGCCTCCCGATGCGGAAGTATTTCCAGACGCGAGTTCGCTTCTTGTTCTTTGCTCTTTCTCCCCTTTTTTTTTGTTCCTGGTAATTTGCCAATTACTAAACATATGAAGAGGTGTACTAGGGTAAGGTGTGCGACAAGTGCAAATAAGAACAAACGATTGAATGTCTGGAGCGGATATATTCAAAGCAGATATTTATAGATAAATTCCTAAACCAACTGAATTATGGAACTTTACTATTCCTTTAAGTGTTTTATTTCGGTACCATTTAAGAAACAACTCTTTTAAAACTATATATCATTGTAACAAAGTCTGAAAATATTCTTTGGAACTAAAAAAGTTGTAGTTCCAAAGAGATTTTATTTACCTTTTCTATTCAATTAAGTGTTTTATTTCGGTACCATTTAAGATACAACTCTTTTAAAACTATAATCATTGCAACAAAGTATGTAAATGTTCTCTGGAACTAAAGAAATTCTAGTTCCAAAGAGATTTTTATTAACCTTATAGAAACGTACAGTTAAGAAAAGTTGTCTAATTAGTTTAAAAGAAGAAACCCTAATTTCTGCAATTATTTATTTTGTTCCAGAGGCTTAATGGCATCCCAGAGGCTGTATCCGAACACAACAACTATCCCACCCCCGCAGAAGCCGATCTAAAGGGAATCGCCCTCGTAACCACCCACATAACATTTCGTAATTTTTCAGGATTAGGTAAATAAAGAGCCAGGAAGATCCTTTTCGTTACACTTTTTCCTAAACTCAATTGAATTGTGTTCCTCTTGGATTTCATCTGAAAAGGATATTACGCAGAGATCCTGTGCAATGATCCTCGACCTGAATTCAAGACATGGCCTAATTGTTACACATTCCCCTTGGGCAACAATGGGTAATTGTAAGATTTTTGCCGCCATCGCACGCATTAAGGATTTGCCCTAACAGTTGTGCGTCTGCAGGATATGAAATGTGCACCCAGCAAAAAAAAAGAAGGAAAGAAGAAACCGTGGGAAACCTGCCCGAATGTCTGGGTTCGGCTCGGAGTTAAGGAAGAGAGTGCCGAGAGAACAATGGCCCGAAACGGAAAACTGATCGAATCGAAGAACCCCAGGTTCAAGTCTAAAACCGTCCAACGCTCAAATATCGATCTCTGGCGACGTTTGCTTTGCTGGTCAGGATTATGGCAGCCCAGAATCGTTCCAATTTAGCGCCCAAACGAAGCGCAGCCGAGCAGAACGACCAAGTTGATGGAGGGGCTGTACGGTATCAGGAAGTTCGACTTCAGATTACCCTATACCGGTTATGAAATCTTACAAATTAGCTAATTATAAATCAATAACTATTTTTCCTTGGGTTGGAGGCACCACTTTTTTTAAGACAGCTTTTATTAAAACATCTATAAGTCCTTCATAATAATCTTTAGGATTTGCTACAATATGGTCTTTTTATAAAAGAAAGAATTAGTTGCTCGAATGGGGTTATATTCGAACCTGTGCCTCTTAGTTATCTACAAAACTGAATATACCCCTTTACAGGTTAGACTACTGAAGGGTATGGAATCCCAAGTGTGCACTTAAGGGATGAAAAAAGTGATCGCAGATCGAAGCAATCCACAAGTGTCGGCAGGTTGAGGCACTCTTCGCCTTATCAATGTGTTGGTGCTTATCGAAGATAGTGTGCGTGTTGAGAGCACCTTACCACAAGAACGCAGTGCAAATGACGGTGAAAGGTTTCGGGTTTCATGTTTCCCGATGGATGTCGAAGTACCAACCATACATACAGAAAAAATTCTATCATCATAAGTTTTATTTCATTTAGTATAAATCATAGTTACATAGATTGAAGATCATCATTCCCATTCTTTAACTAATAATAAAAACTCTATTAATATAAAATCTAAATGGGAGAATAATTTGTATGTTGGGTTATCTAAAGGAATAATTTTTATGATATGCACCAAGAACGCAAACAAATTTTAATAAAGATATTGGTATGCAATATAAATACTTTTCTCTCTGTACTTTTGGATATTTCAGATGGTTCAGCTGGTTCCGAGGTCGGTGGTTGGAGTACATCGAAGTGGATGGCATTGTGCAACGGAGATTCGATATGAGGTCGGGATCCGATCCTGTGCGACAGGATAAACCGAAACAGAGTTCCCCCATGCTCACTGTTTGGCTTCCCTCTGGCATCGTTGGAATGTGGAAATCTTTATCAATTAAATAATCGCCGCACACACACGCACTTACCGAGATGAGCAGGAGATGTTGTATGGAAAGGGACCTCATCATCATCAGCTGAGCCCTGCAGGCATTGAAGGGAAATTAGAGATGAATAGTGGGGGATATAGTACTAGAACTCGACTTTATTTTGTTATTATGGAGGTATTCCTTATGGTGGGACTCAACATATTTTTAGAAATAGGTCTTAAAATATGATAAAAAGGCCCAGTCTATGTATGTAATAGTTTTTATTTTTTCAATATTCTTTCACATACCAAATATCATATTAATCTAAGGACTATTACGATCAAAAAATGATTTTTTTAATAATTCTTTATTATTAAATCTTCTCAATCCTTTGCCAGATAGTAGGCAATAGGGTTCGTTAGTGGGATCTTTTGACTAAGCGGTGTTAGAAGTTTTTCTTCAGTGATGACCTATTTAAGCGACCTCATCTGTACAGCCAGAGGAAGAACTAGGATGGAGATAGAGGATGGTGCACGCACATCACATTTGAGGGGCAGCTTGGAAAATGTGCCCAACATCCGCTCCTCTTGTCTTCTTCGATCTCTTCGAGCGCTTCTTGGAAATCGTTTAAAACCAGAACAACAACAGCAGCAAAAACTGTGGAAGATCGAACGTTCCGAGGCGTGGAAATGGCAGCAAATGAGGAGCCGAGAGGAACACACTCGCACTCCAAATGAAAATGCTGTGTAATTAATTACGCAGACTGAGGATCGCTCGGGGGTCTTGAAAAACGAGTGGTATAGATCTGGAGGTATAGGGGTTTTTGAGGAACAAAGACCTGCTGCTGCAGCAGGTTGGAATCACACACACATCCAGCATCGAGTGGCCTGAGAACCTTTCAGGAAAGTCAGCAATCGGATAGGAAAGGAAGTTATCCGAACACATGGCTTATCGACTTTATGGCACAAAAGGAAATTACACATGAAAATCGATCGTAAAAAACATAAATTTCCCATTTTACGAGCGGCAACACTTGGAAAGTGCCGGGGCTCTAATTGAAAATCTAGCCATAGTTTTATGCTCTTAGATGATCAAGTGTTGGCTGTAGACGGTCTGAACAATTAGATAGTCACACTTTGGGCCAGATATGTGGCAGTTTGAATGAAGGAAGTGTTGTTAATGGAATGGGAAAGCAGTCTTTCAATTTTCATCGGTCATAAATGTTTAAGTTGTTTTTTTGATGATTAAGGTGCTCTTAAAAGTGAAGATGGTAACTGTTGATTGCGTTATACTTAAGCTTTTTAGGGAGTTCAACATTGATCGATTATTTAATATTGAAAATTAAGTTTATTAATTTTATAAGCAGGAAGTATTGGGAATCTGAATCAATTTCAATTTTAAAGAAAACATATAATCTTCTTTTAATTATACCATGCTTTGTTACAACGTAGAATACTAAAAAGACTTATGGGAAATGATCTCAAGAAAACTCTATTATACATTCACTTACACTTTTCCCAGATATGAATTACTCTGGACAACCAAAACCGAGCTAATCGCTGAACCGTAAATGAAACTCCCATAAATTCCCAAGACATCGAACAGGTTGATCGATCCTCGATTTCTGTTAAACGATCACTTGATCCTCGTATCGGTCACCTAATGGGAATCTCAGCAACTCCCGACAAAGTTTAATGAGGAAGCACGAAAAAACATAACTGGGTAGGCAGTCAAACGGATCAGTTACATGGGTCTCCCCAATCCCCCGACTCTTTTTTCCCTGCACTTTACCCGATCGACTCAACCTGATTGCCCACCCACATAATCCAGGTACGAAGCCCAGAGAGTTTCGCATTTTTTGGGTTTTAACTTTCATGCTTATAAGCCAGCGGAGGCACTGAGGAAAAAGTTTGGTTATTAAACGTCTATTAGGAATTTGAAATGAAATTCGGATTCTAGTATAACATAAAGTATAGTTATATATTATATCATTTATCTTAAATTTCCCTTTAATAAATATGATTTATATAGCTACTTTATGAAATTCTGTCTAGTCCTCTGAGGGCATTTATGATATTTTTATCCATGTGCAGGCATGCTCATAAATGTTAAATTGATTGAGGCATATTGCCGACATATCGCGATGTTGTCTCGATTATATAACTTCCTCGAGCAGCCGCAGAGGAGAGCTCAAGCTCCAAACACCCAAGACTGAGGCAAAAGTGTTACAGACACGCTACCGTCCAAAACGATAGCGATACTGAATCCGATGTGGGTACCCACACCATTATTTTCCTACTCTGAGACTCCGACACCCACTGCCTTACATTCATAATCTATTTTGCCACCACACGTTGCACCGAAGACTAAGACTGGGCTTCAATCCAAAGTCGAGAGTCGGGATTTGGAGAAAGAGAGAGACAGCATCCGGAATCGGTATGCCAAAATTGAAAAGAAACGGGGAGAAATATGGGTGTGATGGTGCAAAACGATCGTTGAATGCACTAAGACTATAAATATAGGGTAAAATGTTTAATATAAGGCTTTATAAACAACTGTATAATAGTTAAGGTATAGTACTACTGGTATTGTTAATGCTTTTTGAAGTTGGATAAAAACTTTCTACCTTTATCATAAACAGTTTTCCTAATAAGGATTTGTTATTATCACAAAAGTGTTTTAAATTGTATTGTAAGTCATAAATTTGCTTTTTATATCTAACAAAAATTACATAATCTTGGTTTCAGTAGGAAAATTTTACCTGCTATTTAAAGACACAATCTTTAAAAACACAAAAAAATATTTATTAAAATTGGCTTGTCTTTAAGGGGTTCATTATTATTTTTGCATAACCCCGTAAAGAGTATTATTAATGAAAGATGAGAAGAATTCAGGTTTGCAATGCGGTAATGCACCGCCAAAGAAGACAGTGAACAAGATGGTAATGGTAACCAGTCCCGGGATCTGGAGAGGAGAGGAGCCGGTCCAGCAGTCAGCCAGTGGGTCGTCGTCGTCTCCATGTCGAAGACTTTGGATGTGGATGTCTTGCTGTCAGTTTCTGCGACTTCTGCACTGCGCGCATGCGCCATAAATGGCAAAAAAATCGCAAAAAGGGGAAGAAAAGCATCTGCGCAGCTTTGCTTTGGGAAGATGAAGCCGACGATGATGGCGATGGAGAAGATGCGGCTGTGGAGAAATGGAGGCGAGTGCCGTGGCTACTGTGCCACTGTTCCACATTCGGATTACGGAAATATCTGCACCGACAACAGGTACAGGTCGCCGACAGGTGGGGTCCGGTTCGGTTCAGATCGACTTGGTGGGGATTGGATCGGTTTTCTCACCGTTTCTGCCTGACCTGCTATGGCCAACTGTGCACTGATATAAAATATACATTTTAGGGAAAACTAAAAAAATACTTTATATATTTTACATATTATATGTTATATTTGTTAACGGATTAAAACATTGTCAGTAACCTTAGATAACGTTTCGTATATTTTATTTATTTTTCCGAATTTGTAAGATCAATTTGTTCGTTTTGGGACCTTACCTAACCTCAATATTAACTTTGAAAGGAATTTATCACTTTTTAGAGATAATACATTTTTTTGAAGTATAACACTATCATTTGATTTATAAGACCTTCCTCGATAACTTTTAAGTTTAAATTATACAAAAATATTTTTAACTTAAATACAAAATATTGTAAATAATTTCAAAACATATTTTCGAACTCATTTTTAAAGCTTACTGAATCTTAAAGGTCAGTTTTTCTTTTTGGAATTACACCATCTGTACCACTAAGGTAAAAATTAGGTCAAACTTTTAAAATAATAGTTAATTATTTATTATTAAATATTTACTAATGATAATAGTTAATTATTTCGAAGTTCTTACATATAATTCAATTTTTTAAGATTTAAAAAATTATTTTTATTCAACTCCCCTATTTATCCAGGTGTATCTGATCACCTGCTGCTCCTCCTGCCTCGCCTTTGGCCCCTGTTTTGCGGTTCTCGACAACTTTCACCTTTCACGTAATCTGGCAAAGCCGAACAAATCTCTTTGGGCCAGGCTTTCTCAGCTCGCCGGATCCGCTGGAGAATCATTTATTGTCGCTGCTATTTGCCAATTGACCATTTCCAGCTGGAGGAACTCAATTACATTGCCGCTCTATTCGCAATTCGCATTTGGGATCTCTGTTTATGGTTCAGGCAGCGCATCATCTAGCGGTACATTGGCCATAGATTGCGGATCGGTGGATCGGCGGGGTCTGGTAATCATTGAGGTAAATTGCCAACCCCATATCCCCACATTTCTATGATTCTTGGTGCGAAGAAAGAGGCAGTCTCGATTTGGGTAAGTGGAATCTTTGGGAAATGGCAATCCCAGGCAGGATGTAACATCTTTCTAATTGCGTACCAAGGAAGTCGGTCATTTCAACTGGAATCTGGTGGGGTAGCTGAATATATGAGTTTGGAATTGATTGGTAATAATATCAATAACAATAAAGCAGAATATTTATAGGAATAATAATTATTCTTTAATTTATTATTTTCAAATTTATAAATAATGTGTTGTTTTGTT